CCGAGCAGAATTTAGCATAAAACGGGAATGCAGCTTATCCATCCTTCCATTATCATGTTTATCCAGAAAGTTGAGTTCGTAGTTGCTATATTATTACTATTGGAGAGAAGAGCGAGGAATGTCAACCACCGTGATAAACGAGATAGGAGATAGGACAAGGTGTGAAGACCTAGTCGTGGGGAAATAGCAGGATAACATTGTCCTCTCCTATTCAACCCATTGTTGACATTGTCGCTGATACTGCTCGAGGTAAATGTGACTAATCTCTCTGCAGGCTTGTTCACATTGTTGATCCTGAATTTGTGGGTGTCATTAGTCAGATTGGTTAACTTGGGGTTGTGTGTCGTATGTGTACGTATGTAAATTATGTACAGCCGTGAGTTATGTTATGACACGGATTCAATTCTTTTTATTGGTGACACTAATTGGGGGATGAGGGTCGAATTCGAGACCGTGTAGAAAAAGGATGTTACAGAAGATCGGCTTCTTCTTTGCCTAGGAGAACAGCTTAAAACTCTTTATCAACCTCAGCACTACATTTCTTATGAATGATGGGCCCAATTATTAACAATGCGAGCAGAAGATTTGAATTTCAATGTCTTTAATCAGACATGAAATATTTTTCACCCTGAAATAGTTGAGGTTTAATATTTTTCACGGCAAGGAAGAGATTCCTATTCTTAACTCCCAATGAGGATGAGAATCCTCCGTTATTTACAGTGGGTATAAAATAAGTTTACTGTAATATGCATGCAGTTAAGATGTAAGTACCACTTGCAGTCCTGTTTACAAAAATGTGGCAAAACTGAAATGTAGTCATGACTTCTTGAATAATCGAACAGATTAATAAACTTGACAAACGCTAATCCTTTGATCCGTTATAAACATTTGTTATTTTCATCGATTAATTACGACTTATTGTTACATTTGCACACTTGGACCAACTTCTTGAGCAAGTGAATTTTCTGTCAATATGCGACGAGACTACGAGATCGAGAATATCTGCAAAATAGCAGATATTTTCATGAAACTTTCGCACATTACAGAGTACACAGTTATCTTTTATACGAGATAATTTTCCAATTTTTATAGTTTAGTCAATCAGAGCTACACAACTTAGCCAAATCAATAACCTCAACCAAAAATGCCAAAGCAGTACTTTGTCCTTCAAATATAAAAGTTATGAAAATGAATGACATGTACACAAATCACAATCGCCACATCCCGGATTGAGCAATCTTGTATTCTTACTGGCCGTTTTTCTTACCATTCTTTTCAAAATTTAGAAATCATAACTCTTTATTAAACCCCTTTCTGACTTTGCATGCTCTCTCAGCATCCATCGGATCTATTGAATAGTCCACTAAACAACATTTTGAAACGTCTCCTCTCGAAATAGTTCGGCATATGCTTAACACCCGAGAATGAAAAGAAATGCGGGAGTAAAAATAAAGTCGAGAGGGTTAGTTATCTATTCTGAAGAGCAATAACAATAAAAATAAGAGGCAGTCAGGGAAGACGAATAAAGCTGGTAAAAAATGGCCAGGTGATGGGGAAATTCTTTGTTGAATAGTCGTCTTCGTCGTCGTATGTATACGTGTGAGTGATACTGCATATGTACGGAGGCCTTCCAAATCAAAGTGCTCTTCTCATCCAACTCTTACCTTCTGGGCATCCCTTCTACTACTCTGGCAAGAACCTTCCAAATTATGAATATAATTATTACCATTACCTTCAATAACTCTTTGACTCATCATTCCGTCCGATTGATGCGATGTCATGATTAGATATGCGGTTAGTTGAGTGAGGGCGATTGATTGACGCTGGGGATGATGTGATGTGAGCAACTCATGCTGATCACTGCTTTCTCATTTCACCCTTGTTTATTTAGCTATGCACATAGTTGCAGTAGTTACCAAATCTTCTTCATAGTCCGCTTGCCTTTGGTAACAAAGTTATCTTATTTTCAAAAGTCGTCTACGTCCCATGAGAAGGAATGTATAAGGGAATTTGTATATATGCAAAGTATGAAAAGGTGACGGAATCATCCTTCTTCCTTATTACGCATCCATCGTCATCATCATCATAATCAAAATCCGAATCATTGATTTGACTTGTATTAAAAAAGATGCATGATTTGCTCCTGTACAACTTCCAGCAGCTTTAATCCATCATGACGATTCAAATCATTGCATTGTTGAGACAGTCGATGCGGTGCTGATGCTGTTGATAGTATGACCTCACCGCAGTCAGAAAGTAGTCGAATCATAAATCAAATATTGGAGCAGAAAGATGAATGAAGCTTGCTTTTTGATGGCGCAATGCGAAAGACGAAAAATCATGATACAATTATGCTTGACATTTTGGCGTACAGAATTTGTAACTTTAAAGATGCACAAAATATTCTCACTAATTGTTGTAACAGATAAATACTTGCATTATTACTCACCTGCATCAACTAATCAATGTCTTTCCATGGATAAATATTCCGTCTATATTTTCTGTTTTCATTCGTAATGACCTTGCCCAGCCTTGCCGCTGTCTGAAACCAAATTAATGATTGCCTTCATGTTCCTACTCCAATTTTGTTTAGGGAAATAACGAAAGGGGAGTTGTTTTGATTTTGATGATGTTAATTTCATCCTCGTCGATTCTCCCACAGATTATCACATCGAGGGAAGAATTCAATTGAATAGGAAGTCAGGAGTGAACGAAAGCGAGTATTATTAGATGGATGGATAGATAGGCATCTTTTGATGAGCTGTGTAGTTGATTACGCATGAAGAAGACGGGTGAAAATACATAAGTAGCAGAAGCAACAACCTAGGCCAACAACAACCTGCCTACTACTTACCTGTCTCATTTTTTATCGTGTTCTCCCCATTTTATTTTCGTCCATTAACAGATCTTTCGAAGAACACGACTCCATTTCATTCAACATGTTTTACATTCAGGATGATGATATTTTCTCTTATTTTTAACAATGAAATACCAGTCCAGAGCTCCGTTGCCGACCCGCCGACCTCACTTAACTTATCTGAATATAAAAAAGTCAGCCTCCCTCCACAACATTTACTTTACTTTCATTCGACAATAGGGTCGAATAAGATCTTGGAGCTGATCTTGAGATGAAAAACAATGAGGATTTAGGATACAAGTAGATCTATGACCTTCAAAAATGTATTAATCAAAAGTTCTCACTACGATACATACATGCTTGACTTTTTGAATTTAGTATCAAATGTACTTCAACTGCAGTCAAGATTTTTTCATGCAATATTGTACTTTGCAAAGCCTTGCCCTCTTTGAATAAAGGAATGACTAGAAAAAGTCAAAATCAAGAAAACAATCTCCGTCAGTGGCAGAATGTTGATGTTATGACCTTATTATCATTATTTCTGTGTTGCTGCTACTTGACCTGAGCGACTAGAATTATTACTGCTGCGGTAAGACTACCTATGCCTGCATCTCCAAGGATGAGGTGAACAAGGGAAGTACATATATTTATGTATTACTGATTGTGAGACTTGACTGACCTACCTCCTCGAAACAACAACAACAGAAACGAAGACTGTGAGAAGTCGTCCTTTGTTTTTGTTTCCTTTTTCAGCTTCTGTAAACTTACGCTTGTTTCTCGTATTGCAACCGAGGGAAGGAATTCTCTGCTCCTTTTCTCATTCTAGATTGGATCCAATTAGAACATTCCAGGGCTCAAGGTGGAAAACAGAGATAAATATGGCTCGGTCACCGCAAAAGAGGTCTTTTATGACTTGAATCTCACACATCTTCCTTTCCTTCTGATGGCCATTCGACCAATTCGACTGAAGTGAGTGAGAAATGCTCCCGTATAATTCTTTAGTTTTTATGGTCGATTGTAATTAGATTGGAATTACAAATGATATGAACAAGAGTGCTTCACTACACGTAGTTGAGAGTAGATGCTTTAGCTAGATGAATGCAATACCTATAAAACAATAGACTGGAGGAAATGATGATGATAGATTTATTTCTGTATTTCAACTCCATCAGACGAAAAAGTGCTTGGGTAGCGCTTGGCGAGGTCGGGATCAATTGCTAATTTGTTTACCAGTCGACCAGGTCACTGAAAAAAGTGCGTCTACTTACGAAAGTTTGCTGGTGGTGTTTTATCGGAGGTGTCTGTTCAGCTGGTCCACGAGAAGGAAATAAAAATTTTACGTATACAACTTTCCGAATCACAAAGATTTGTACTTAAAGAATTTGTATTTAAAGAAAGAATTAGCAAAATTTCCTTAGTTTTATGCCAAATGAATAAATTAAATGTTAGACAACGATAAATTGAGACGAATAGACTTATGATTTATTATTTTATTTTAATCAGTGAAACTGACATTTAAAAAATCTAAGACTAATTTAGTTTGGATGCCAGCATTATTTTCCATTCTTTCTGTATAGATTATAAATATAGACATTTCTAAGCCTTGACATTGATGCATATAATCCCAAGTTTTTTGCACTTCGGGGAATTTGAGATTCTTAAACTTCAAGTGTTAACTACTCTCGTTGGATGTATATAATATGCTTATTTATCACTGCAGAATTTTGCGTACTATAACAGGAGAGGAAAATTGTATTTAGGTTTTACTTAATTTGCCATTTTGGCGACATTTTAGCCAACTCTAATCTTCTAAATTTTGCAAAGCTTAATTCCACAAATCAATTTTATGTTATTTCATAGTTTGACTAGTTTTTTTTACTTTCAAATCAACGTGTGGTGAAGACTTATATCTTAAAAAATTAAAATCTCACAGAGGTAATTCATTTTATGAATTTTTGCACATGAACGTTTCAGGCTCAAACTTGGGATTACACAGGACGCTCCATCTACAAAAATGCTATGTTACCATCAAGATCCAGCACTGGACCACTTTCACTCAAAGATGCTCTGACTGAACTCAAAATGAAGCGTATGCATTATGCATTACTTTTGGTTTCCTTCTTCATTTATTTCCATTTTAGCATTTCTACAAAAATGACTCAAAATTAGATTCATTATTTATTTATTTTATTTTATTTTGAACAATGAGCAGTATTTTTACATATAGTCAATTATGCATATCACGAGTAGGTGTGTCTGTACAGTAGAATATACATATGCAAATATTTGTATGCATTTCTCAGCTGCGTCGCAGGTGTGAATAGTAAAATTTCTAGGTCAGCCAATCCAAATAATCCAATACATATGTATGTTCGTCTGCAGTTGGTTATCATCACAAGGACCCAACAACCTAGCTGGTTTTCTGAATCGGCTTCTTCAGAATTCCCATGCTCCTCAATTTCTTCACAATGAGGGGCGTGGCTGTCAGCGTTATCCCAATTCGTGCAGGGGCAAAAATTTTATGCACGGCATACGCAACCACGAAAGTGCTCGCCCCTTGGGTCACTTTGCTCTGCAGAATTTGCTCTCCCACACCAATTCGTGAAAGGAGGTCCACGACGTCTAGACCGCTACAATTCCAGGAAAAAAATAAAAAAAGTTTAGATAAGCATTTGTTCACCAGTTAAAATATCTTGTGCCAATTTTGAAAAAAAAACAAATATCGTTAAATGCGGAATGACACAATTCGCAGGAATTTGTCTATTAAAAATATAATAAAGACTTGCATAAGGTTCTCAATCCATTCATTACTTCCGAGTTGGTTTACACAAAATGGCATTCCTCGCCATACTTTTCTCTTTTCTTCTCCCACACCCACCGCCGCATGCATAGGCCTGCACTCATTATATCATCACGTTATTAAGATATCAACGCAACCCATCCGTCGGATGATGATGCAACCAGGAGTCAAACCTAGTCAATCCCTTCTTCCATCTTCCCCGTAATCTGGCATGGATTTAAAGATAATCTGAAGGTAAAGTGTAAATATGTGTGGGGACGGAGGAAGCTAATCAAAATAAAACATGCATCAGAGAGAAAATGACTCATAATATGGGTGTACTCTGTGTGTGTTAAATGAATGCTATTTGTTGCCAAATGCTTGCTGCTGAAATCCGCTTCCTTCCGAAAACTCACTCTTCCAATAGTTTGGCAGATTTGCAAAAGGTTCTTTTCGTGGCTGTGTCGTGTTATTGCTTGTTAAAGTTGGTTAGTTAGCTTGTTCGTTAACATTTTATGCACTCAAGCAAAATTGTCAAATGAAAAATTGCGGCGTTAATAAGTCAGTAAATTGGGAGAAAGTTTGACATGATTTAACACCCAACTACAAGGTGATTAAAGGAATAAATAATTGTGTTTCCCACACAATAAGTTGATTTTATCCGTATGTACTTGAATGAATTGTGCCGATTTTATGAACATTTTGCCAGAAACTTTCCAGTATTTTTTGGACGAAACCCAGCCAAATAGATTGAGCCGGCACGGTTGTACCATAATCAGCAGAATGATGATTTGGTGGCCGACCATTCGGCGTAGGTGCCATGCACACATGTACGAATTTCATGGAGTGGATCGAATGAAGCGACCGTGAAATGAAAATGTGAAAATGTGCACCGATTAAAAGCTGCACTTTATGGCACCCTAATCGTCTCCCCATTTGTGTTGTGCTCCATTTATTGGCCAGGAATGAGCCTGCAGAAACATCATTAATTTTTTGAGCCAAAATCATTCCTGCCATAACATTTGCTTTGATCGACAAATGATCCCGACATAAAATCACAGCACAAAATTCATTGAAAACATAAATATGAGGCGTGTGCATGATTTAAGAGGTTTTTCGGAATTTAGGATTTGGCAATTTTATTGGGATGTGCAAATTGGGACAAATTTTGAAGGCTAGGCTATTTATCTTGTTATGTGTGTATTTAACCGCTATATGCTCTAATAAATAAACAAGAGTAATCTCATTCCTTTCCTTGTTTCACGAAAATGCATAAATAAATCAAAACTACACTCACGGAAATGTGATAAGTTAATGTAGCATATTAGAATTTTCCCAGCATTTTTCCTATAATCCCTGTTATGTCAGCTATTTATGTGTTTTTAAATGGAAAATACAACGAAAATGTGACAATTTAAAAATTTATGCACACAATTGGTTCAAGTCTTAATCAGAATTTTTATCAGAAGATAATTCTGACATAGTTTGGACAAACTTTTATTTAGCATGCAGCCCAATGTTCTCTTTTCCTGAATATTTTTGTCTTTTAAAAAATAAAGAGTTTTTTAGCGTTTAGTGAGCATCTCGAACCTCCATCTCATTATCGGAGAGGCAGAGGCATCACTAAACTATATGCACTGCTCGCTCGAAATGAGTTTGAAATAGATGCCAATCCAGCTAGTGTGAGTTTCTAAAATGAATATACCTTGACACGAGAAGGTAGAACATTCCCAGCGAGCACAGCGACATGCAAATGTGAAATACCAAGACCGTGGACCCGTAATCCTTCACGGCTTGCTTTAGCTTGGCCTGTCGGCTTAAAGGCTGATCTGCCACGACTGGTGATGACGTTGACGACGACGATGGTGTCGATTTTCCATCATCCTGCGAATCCAATCACAAATTAAAATAGGTCAGGGTGGCAAAATTATTCGTTATTTAATGTCGTGTTGTTAACTGACCCCAACGGTAGTACTTTGCGACTCTGCCTTCGTGGCCCCCTTCTCATTGCTTAGTCTTTGACTCATGGTATGCAAAAGTTTCCAATCGACAATAGTACTTTGAGGTTGAAAAATTAACCCTCTTTTCCAACTTAAATCATTTCGTATTGTAGTGGTGAAAGTTGGTGGTAATAATTTAAATACCTTCGTTTCCTGAGGTTTAAAGTTGTAAAACGACCTTTGAAAAGTTGTAGTAATTGCTGGTAATACTAAGCGATGAGCGACGTGTTGATTAATACGTACTATTTGTATCATTCTTAGAATTGTGTTCGAATTGTATCGAATCGACAATGTGTTAGAATTGTCGGCTTGTTAATACTGCGATAGTGTGTTATGTATTTATGTATAAGAGAATGGAATATTTATTTGTCAACTAATTTTACTGCCATGACTTGTGACTGGCATACACACTGAACTACCAATCGATTACAATCTGTAATTGTCACTCTTTTTTTTTACTAACAAGTGATTCAAATGACAAATCCATATATACATAAATACATTTATTCAACAGCAGCTGGACGATGTGTATCAGTTGCTGGAACTGAATTTTGTGTGTACATACAGAACCATAGTATGTATTTTTTGTGTAGAATGAAGGCCAAACCACTTGAATAAAGGGGAATCATCGTCATGAATGTTCGTTAAAAGATGTGCATGAAGTAAAAGTGAGAATTTCTCTAAATCATACTAGTTTTGGGATAATTTTGCATTATCATTCACTGCCAATTGTTATATGTACCACTAACAAGTAAGGCTCTACACTTTCACCCTTTGTCATTTCATGCCTATATTATAGAGCGTACAGCTAATTGATCTTGAGACATATTGTGCTGGCCGCTTGTGTGTGTGTTAAAAAAAACTTTTGAGTGATTCACCACTTTTGGCGAAACAGCTAAAGGTAAAATTCAGTCTCCTGACGACCGAGAAAGAATCCGGTGAGCCGGGCAAGTTGTAGAAATCGGATTCTTTCCTAGGCCTCGTTAAAATATAGATATCCAACCAACGGGTAACACGACGCCCAAGAATATGCGACGAGCACCCATTGCCTACTTTCCGTCTTGTGCACACATTTCGTACTTCTTCATGCCTTGCACTCCTGGTCGTCGTTATCGTCGTCGTCGTCGTAAGGAATTCAGCATGGGCCTCAGTAGATTTAAAAGCAGTAGAGCAACCCGTTTCTGAATGGTGAATGGGCAAGCAAAATTTTCAGGGTTTTTACTGTCAACCAAAAACCGGGATCAAACCGAGCTGGAAATTATAGGACGGCGAAACCCATACCACGAATACGTACACACATCCCACTAGTTGAGTCTGCAGATTTGGAAACTGTTTATATGGGTCTCGGTTGTTGGTGCATTGAAGAAAGTGCATATGTATCCCAGGAATATGTACAGAATATGTACGTATGTATTTACGTACGTATGTATGTACGTGTGTACGTGTGTATATGTTATGTCGGACAGAAAGCTTGCGATTCACATTCCCCAAAGTTGTATTAATGAGCAAACTTAAATTTAACAGCTTTGTTCATTTATAGATTAAAGACCCAAGTTAGCATTTTAGTGGACGGATCTCTCTTGGCGACACAGACAGACTCATTCATCTCAATCAAGGCGTGGTTATTTCGGGTCGAAATTTGTTGTAGTGTTGCTGTCGGTGAATTTTGTTGACGGCACACACAGTGCATGGAACTCATTGGATTTACTACTTTCTCTTATTTCAAGTTATAATTTAGCACTGTAATTGTCCATTTTATGCTTTGTACATGCACATATGGAGAATGCTGTTCTCGTGATCTTAAAAATACAATAATGAATGACTGTCCAGTAACTTGTGGTTTTGGATGCGGATGAATAATCAGTTGTGCTAGTTGCATCCACCGACGTGCATACTCTCCACACAAAAGGAATGGTAAATGCTATCTATGCAACTGTGCTCCATGTCATGATGATGATGGTAAAAAAGATTATCTGCAGTCAAGATAAGCATCCCGAAATGAGTCTTCACGTTCCGGTCGCTGAATTGAATATCTTGTTATGTTTTTCATAGTAAGGTAAAATTTGCTCGAATTTTTACAAGTGAAGAAAGCAAGTTGAGGGCCGGATGGATGGATAAATGTATGAAAAAGTGTGTGTATAGCATTTGCCTAAAGAATCCAATGTGAGTGCTTGATTATATCCGGGGTCTGGTCTGGTCGTTGGTGGTGGCGGCGGTGATGGTGGTTGGCTAAACTACTACTGGGGAAACTAGTGGGGGCTGAATGAGTTCAGGGGTTGGAGCGATACTGCATACGAGTACACTTGACTACTATGGGTTGCAAAAGACAAAAGATTTTTTGTGGGATTGTGTATTGTAGAGAGGATAAGATATAGAGAATGTGTAGTAAGTAGTGATGCTCATATTTGGAAATGTTTCTAAAAAAAGATTTCGGGGGATTTTTTGGCACGGGAACTCGGTCGGGGGGTAGCAAAAAGGATGCTCAAAATAATTTCGTGGTCTAAGTTTCAAGTCACTGTCGGTTCGTCTTCCACTCACTCTCAGATCGCTTGGCTTTTTGGTGCTTTTATCACATTTCCTCTCGTAGCAAATCCACCTTCCACAATGGTAAGGAGAAGCTAATTCTCTCACAATAATTACTAAGTGTCTTGAACTCTATTTTACAAAAAGGAAAAACAATTGTTCTTCAAATTTCTCAAAACTCAATTGGATTTTTCAAAAAGTGCTGGTTCAACCGAATTCAAACCAAATTCATTTATAGTGGTGGAAAAAGATTCAAATTTGACACACACTCGATTGGGATCTTTTAGTTGTTTGTTGGTTGTGGTGTCGGCATCATCATCATCTTCGTCTTGGTGGTGAAACCTGTTAAAAACCTTTGATAAGCCTTCAATTAGCCGGGGAGAGTATTATCATAATGGTATTGTACACTACAATATAGTGCCTCAATTTATGGTTTCGACTTTTCGAAACTCACTGCTTCCCAATTGTTGTGGAATAACTGTTAGGAAATTTTGTACCGCTTTAAGCAACTTGTTGTTAGGAAGTTGTTGGAAACAAATTTAATTCATTTAATTGCAACATTTTAATTCAGTGCAAACAGAAAATACTAAAAGTCTGGAACAGTTTTAGCTTAATCATGAGTTTATAAAACAACCAATGATCACCAACAAGTGGATTTTTAGTAAAGTGGATCTTTACATATTCTGTGGGGAATATCACATCTCAGTCCAATCATTAGAGCAAATTGACACGTGGAGACAAACCTAATGGTTTCTTCCTTCAATAACTTGACTGTTTAAAATCCTCAGCTCATTACGAGCTAACAATTAAACATTACTTGGCTTTGTTTCTCTTCTTGTTTGTTAGGAAATTAAATGACAAATTTAATCTCAAATATTCAGGGTGTATGCGAAAAGGGGGAAAGTACATGAAATCTCTTGTCTCCAAGCCACACCTATCTTTCTTTACATTTATCTAACTCTCTTTTCCGCCATGTTGGACTCCCAGCAGCTTAGTTTAATTTTGAGCCTGAAAGAGTTTCACGTTTGTTTGTATCATGCATAAGCAGCTTTTTATGAATCAGACTTTCGGTATTTTTTATTTTGCTCAGCACACCAGCCAATTTGGGTGACTACCAAGTTTTAGCCAGTTAGAGTTAGAGTGCAAAGAGCATTCCTATCATAATACGCATTCATTAAAGACTTTGCAAAAGGAGGCAGGAGACGCTCAAGTCATGGCGTTGCAGGCGTTGCTGGTCATATCATAAGCAAGAAGCACTAGTCGTCGGTGGTGGTGGTAGGTAGTGAAAAAACCGAACCCGGTCCGTCCTCCGACGGGGAAAGAATGTTGTCGAGAAAGACGACTTGACATTATTTTTAGACCAGAGGTCCCACTCCGACGCTTACCGTCGATGATCGAGGTGGTGGCACCACGAGCAGAAGCAGCAGAATCAACATCATCATCATTTTTTCCTTGCAGTTAAATCTGCGATTATTTTAAGACTTCATAGTCAATGGTTAATGTTACATGAGCGTATAGCATGGAAACACTTTGCATTCCCGTTACATTTGAGTTACTTTTCACTCTTTGGCTACTAAAATCCGACTTTGTAATCTGCACAGCAAGTGTATCAGGGTTATCCGAATCTGGGTTCAGGTTCGTGGACGACGATGTGCATGCACCGAAAAAAACGGCTGGGTCAGTAGTTTGCGGCTTATTCACAGGAATTATGATTTTATGGCTATGCGAAAAATAAATAAATAAATGCCTAGATTTCAAGGTTTCACCACGCCATAAGGCTGCATACAATATGAGTTTTTAAAATTCGCCCAAGAATCAAATTAATATTATATGAAATTCCTTGCACATGCATTTTGACAACTGAAACGGTTTAACCATGAATTGTATCTTAATTCCAATTGAGTTTATTGTAATGCAATTGTTTTAATCCTTGTAAAGCATTTGTGCTTGAATTGTCATTTATATGAATGGATGTTAACTGCTTGTGATATACAATAGGCGGATGATAAGAAAGTTAAGAAGACCAAGAAGAAGAAGGAGGAGGGAGAAGCTGCACCAGCTGAAGGTACACGAATATTCCCAGCCTATTCACGTCCATAGTATTCTTGTCGTACTAAAATTGCACTAATAATTATCATAATTTTTGTCCAAAAAGCTGCTCCAGCCGCCGAAGAAGCACCAAAAAGAGCGTCCACCCGGGAGTCGAAGAAGGCCAAGCGTACTGGCAGTAACATCTTCTCTGCCTTCTCACAAAGACAGGTTGCCGAGTTCAAAGAGGCAAGTTTTCCGTGCATTTTTCTTAATTCTTCCTGAAAAATGCAAAATTTCACTTACTCACGTGATGTAATATAATTCATGATCAGGCTTTCCAAATGATGGACGCTGACAAGGATGGCGTCATCGGCAAGAGCGATTTGAGACAGACATTCGACGCTTTGGGTAAAATGGTCAGCGACAAAGAACTTGACGAGCTTTTAGGCGAAGCGACCGGACCCCTGAACTTCACCATGCTTTTGACGCTCTTCGCCAACCGCATGTCAGGCAGTGCAGATGACGATGAAGTAAGTGACACAATTATTATTAGACAAAGTTAAGCTTTCTATCGATTAAGCACATGCACTTGTGTATGAACTGTAGTAGAAAAACCAGATAATCATACGTGAATAGATGCATGAAACAGTAAAATCCTGTTTTTCATTGTGAACAGTATTTAATTTCTTAGAAGTCCAAAATTAGAAAACTAATTATTATAGATTTACATTCAAGTGGTGAAAATTCAATAAAATTACAGTAAAATTACGTTTTAGAAAAATATGCTCAAAATGCAGCAGTTGGAGTAGAAAGGTCATAGAAATCGGTAGAATTTTTTAGGCAAATCTATATGCACATTGTCTTCAGTTCTCTAAAGCATGTTTCTGCTAGACTCGCTAGACACTAGTTTATTGTCGTCACTGACGAAAATCAGGATACAACTTGGGTTTAATGTAGAAAGTGAAGAAATTTCGAATAGCATTTGTAAAACCGTGAATTTAAAAACCACATAATTCCATGAATGAAGAGATACAAATTGAGGAAGGGTGTGCCAGCAATGGTCCTATAATTACAAATGCTCGGAAGCTATTTCCACACAACCTAATCTTGATCTTCATACTTTTTTCAGGTTGTCATCGCCGCTTTCAAATCTTTCGATGATGGTGGCAAAATAGACTCTGAAAAGTAAGTGATGGTTTCCAGCTTGCTTTCCCAATAATTTTCCACCGCAATTCATAATGAATGATGGTGAAAGCATAATGCTAGACTGACAAGGACCTCGAATGATTTTTTCTCCTAGACTTCGTCATGCATTGATGACATGGGGTGACAAATTCGCAGCATCTGAAGTTGATGAGGCATTCGAGTACGTAAGATAACAAATTAGGATCTGCGATTTATTAAAAATAAAAGGGACACGCAGCTCGTGGCGTGGTCTTTCCTAATTTTTATAACAAATATTTTAGCATCTGTTTTTTTCTTTGTTTTAGTCAAATGACAATAGACGGTAGTGGAAAAATTGATACTCAGAAGTTGATCCAGATGTTGACCGCCTCGGCCGAGGAGGAGGAGGAGGAAGCCTAAGTAATAAGAACACCACCACCAAACCACCATCCAACATAATAACTCAAAAAACCAGTCATTTAATTGTTTATCTAAATACTACTATATACATCTTCATCTTGCTTACCTCAGTCAGAAGTGTGAAACAACAAGCAACGTCAACATCGCCGTATCGAAAGAACCGACCGATCGTATTGTCATCTCTATAAAAAAATCATATCACGATATGAAAAAAGCACAGACACACACTTTATAAAAAATTATTATTCAATTCAATCGAACATCGGGAGAACGAACCACTTAGAAAAATAATATTGTTCCACTTTCTGTCGAACATCCATCATTCATCCAATATGCTGGTAAAAAAATCTTTAAAGCTACTTCTACTATTATGATAATAATAATTTCTCTACACACAATCCTCAGCCACAATTATGTTCAGTTATTATTGTTATCATGATTTCCACTCGAAAACAAAAAAGGGTTGTTCAGTGCATCTCCAAGATCCACATCGTTGTGCTGTATCATAACTCTCGTTAACCTTTAACGTAACATTCTCCGTTGAAGAAAATCTTATTATTTTATTTCCATCAGAGAATAAAAAAGTGAACATCTACCAAACAAACAACTTATACAACTTTTATCATCCATCTGAATTTATATTATTCAATCAATGTTGATATGCTATATAACTTATCTTACAGTTATCAAATGCCGGAAAGCCATTATATTTATAGCCAAGCAATTTTGTGAGGCAATCAATTAAACTCCATCAAGTTACTTAAAAACCCAAGACTCTTATTACTTCTTTGTTTCTTCAGCAGGAGCAGTTGCTCTGTCCCTCTTTCTCTTGTTCATATTACTACTCATACTACAATACAATGGTACTCTTTGAATGATTGTGTTATGAAAAATGGACGCAACAGGTAGACGAGATTGATTATTATTATTACGCCATGACAATTATTATATGTTAATAAAGCGTTTAATGTTCATGAGCCCCTTTTTCCCAGTACGAATCCAGTGACTTTCTCCTCTTCCGAAACTTTCCATTTCTCAAATCACCCATTCCGCAATCAGTAGTGGTCACCTTGATCGATACTCATTTCCTCTCAACCCTGGGCTTACAACAAGCATAATATACTTGTAAAAAGTACATATTATGTACTTTTTTGGCCTTGTGCGAGTATGCAAGAATGTCACTTGGCAGCTCTATTTTTACTTTTTGACCTCGCTAGATTTTGATACTTGAAAGTCGATACATGCAATGCAAATTCTCGTATTCTTAAGGTACCACAAGAGGTTGAATATTTCAATTTTTTATGGACTTAGCAACATGATTTTTTAGAGAACATGAGTCAAGACATAAAGTACAGCTCTGCATAGAAACAAGGGCATTGGGGTATTTTTAAGAGCTCCCCGAGATGGAGGGGGAGGACTTTGAGGTCATACTGGTTGTTATTTGGAGTCACTATATATTTCTGCAGGGTGTATAATCGGTTTGTGGGCTCATTTGTGTCGGGTAATGAGATGTGAACCATTTTTGTCCTCAGAAACATAAAATAATAGGGAGGGGCAAGTGTAGAAATACTATTTCGAAAAGTATGGAGGACAATATGGAAATGAGACCCATTATGCTCCCCATGTAAAACTATTTCGCACGATATGGGAATCGTGGCACATTTGTGCTCCGGATGGTTTTGACGCTAGGACGTTTTAAAAAAATTTCATCACTTTATACTATTTTGGCTATAAATACTTAAGTATAAGCAACAGCAGAAGGGGGCATTTACCAAAATTTAGAGCAGTATATTTTTTACAAAATTTCTATTTGAACCAAATTTCTACCTACCATAATTTCTGAGAAAATTACAATCAAAGTGAGTGGTATAATTCCTTGCCAACTCTCTTGTGGTACCTTAAGAACTTTGCATTAAAATGTGTATCTTCACAATGTTGAATTCACTTGACCTGAGCAAATTCTGTGTAAAATTTCACCCCAATCCATCCATCCATCTACGTCAAGAAATAAGTCACATTATCCAACAACGTGCCACACTGTTAATCCGACCTGATTCACTTGCCTGTCGTATAATCACCTCATTACGTAACCAAATTACGAAATGACCAACCAAGCCAAACCAACATACAAAGTGCATGAGGCGATAAATGGTGAAAGCTTGGGTCGCATTTCCTGATTGCATGACTTGCATTGTAATGAAATCCATAATAACGGAGGGAGGGAATTTATTTACTATTGGTGCGATATTTGACCATTACAATGCCACCCTACGACCAAATGCATACAATCTGTATAACAACTTTATCACATCAAGTCATTGAATATACAACCTCGCAAAAGCTGGATTTATACATATAAGGCGTATGATTACACAAAGCAATCATTCGAAAACTCCATCCAATCCAGTCCCCAAATCGTAATGGAATCCTAATAAAATAAAAGCAAACTCGATCTACTCTAACATGCAAACTCGTTCCTCACCCCGTCATCCCCTTCATAGTGAAAGTGCATTATTTTATTTAAACCTTCCCTTGAAGGGAAACTAGATGAAACGCTGGTAAATTTCTCCTATCTGTCTCAACCAGCAAGTAAATCAACCCTTCTCCTACATTTCCTTCTGTAATATTTATTTTCATTTTCACTCAACCCGTAGAATACATACGTACATACGTGTAACTCTTCCTTTCACCCTCGTCTCGTCGTATGCAGCCCTCTGATCAAACACTACCACTACGTATGCTTACTTTAACCCGAAATAACCGAATGCATGTACCAGGGTAGGAGAAGAAATCGGGTAGTTTGGTACTTTTTCGGATTTTCCTTCGCATGCGCCCCCACCCAACTTAACAAAATTTCCATCTCCCCACCACCACGGTAGACGACAATACTTTCTCTCTTCTTCTTCCTCACCTCGATTTGTTGTTGCCTCGAGTCAACACGGTAACAATGTTGGTGATGATGTCATAAAATAATAATAGCCCCAATTAAGTGATTATTACAACGAATTGCATCTCGAACACGGAAACCATCTTCGCCAAGTAAAATTAACCGGCCACCGGGTCATCGTCATCACATTACATTTACATAGAGTCCTATTATAGGATTACTGATCTCATCATCATCACCATCGTCACCAACTAAATTTTTTGCAGCCCTGGACTGACAGCCAGCTGAGCTGACCACTCCACTTTTTATTCAGTTTAGACGGAGAGAGGAGTCAAGTAGGAGTAGTTGGTTGGTTGGGCAGTTCTTCGGGTCCGTCGGATATTTCGAGAAAAAAACGAAAAAAACGAAAAAAACAATTCAATTGGGGGTGTGGTTGGTACTGGCTGCCGAAAGTTGGAGTAGGAGGGAATTCTTTGCTGCAATTGGTCAATAAAAACTCGTCCAACTGTCAGAAATTGAAACAAATTGATTCAAGTCTTCTCAACAAGTTTGTGCAGGTAATTTTTGATTTATTTTAAACTTTTTTCTAGCATGTATGGGAGAGATGCTACAGGAAGAAAAATTGAAATTAGAATATAAAACATTGAATGATGATTCGTTCGGTATTTGTATAGCGTAATTCGTTTATACCGGAAATAAGTGATAAATATTCTGACCTCTAATTTTTGCGAATCTTGTACATGATGTGCTTGTTAGCAAATTAAATAACCATACTTGTCTGGTTTATAAGTAGCTAGTATTGTGTTGTGAAATGTGACATCCATAATTTATAATTCCAGTTTGCAGGATGCCATATCTTTATGTGGTTTTGGTTTATTTTAGAGTTTGCTAAATTATTTGTGGTTTGTCTTCATTTTGTATTCTTCAAAGCTAGTTAAATTCATTGTTTGTCAAGGTTTATTTCTGCACAGAGTGGAAAGAAACCACGCTTATTACCAATGTTGATTGAATGTGGCGTAACAAATTGCCAAGAAAAGAAGAGTTTTTTTCTTCAAGTTGGGATGACAAATACACCGCATTTGCTTGTATGAATATCACTCTACGGTGCGGTTTTGTGGTAACGAAAAAGCATTAAAATTAACATGGCACATAATTAGTATTCTTATTGTTATGGTTAGTTTATATTACAGAAGAGGCAAGAGTTCATGAAATCAGTCTCCTCAAGATGCAGATTATTACGATGTAATGTATGCAGGTTTCACGTTTCATGAGGGTCATGACTTTAATCTCATAATTGATGATTAATTAAACCAGAATTGTTGTTTAGAATATTACAAGGACGAATTATATTGTGTTGTGGTTGAACCAATTATACGAGCTGACAAAAAATATACTTTTACTAACAAGTTAGTACAATTCTAAAGTCAAGTTTAATCTGCTGTCAAAGATAATTTATGATTAATCAGGATTATATTACTGAAAGGTTTTATGCTTAAAAGTTGTCGCTATTTTAGATGAAAACAAAATAAATAGCCAGTACGACCCCAGAAATACATTAGCACGCATTTTGAAGACGAAAATATGCCGTGACGTGGTGACTTTTCTGGTTGATTAAACATCTTCAAATGCCATTAGTTCTTGAGTGAGTTGAGTTGACTTGTAAAATCAGCGTGACGATGTTTTGTGGGGCAGTATTTTTTTATAGAGATGAATTACAGATTACTTACCACCGTATTACCATTACTTACCACCGTGTTAAAACGTTGTAAAATGTATATACAAGTTACGCACCTGAATAATTTTCTTGGTCGGGATTTCCCGTCCTATCCATAAAGTTCAGGTTCAATACTCTTTTGGATTGTTGTTTATGAATTTCAGATATTATTACTCTAAGAACGTGAAGTAATACAACATGTCGAGGAGGTTTAAGGCGACAAAGTACAAAAATGCAGCTCCAAGACAGCAGACACACCCTCCCTGGATTCGCGACTTGTCCGTTGGATCGTACAATTGCTTTGGCAATTTCATTAAGGCGTCAGCAGCCTTCACAGCGTTCAATATCAACCCTACCGGTAAATAAATCTATTCAGATACATGCAGATCAATAACCAAACAAAAAATGTGGATACAAATTTCTATTGTTTTATTATTGAATATAGGATCTCAACTGGGAGTGGTGGCCTTAGACACTGAAGGACCAATAACAGGCTACAATGTGTCCATTTTGAATGCTCACAGGTTGAATGAATTCATTTTAGTCATAAGTATATTGATGTGTGTAAACTAAACAAAACAACAATTAACCTGAACTTTTCTGTTCTTTTTATATTCAAAATTCACGTCAATGATGGATCTCGCTACTCACTCACAGTGATTTGGTCACTGATTTTGATTTCTCTCCGTTTGAAGATGGACTGTTGGCGACATGTTCTGCAGATTCTACTGTTAAGATTTGGTCACTTAATCTTGAAAATTTAAACAACTTGTCAGTCCTCACCCCGGAATGTGCTACCAACACAAAAAATCGCCGAGTTGAGACAATTTGCTTTCATCCCACTGCCGAGTGTTTGTTGTCCTACACCTCTCAAAATGCTTTAAGTTTATGGGATATTTTACATAATAAGGAGTTGATGCATGGTAAAAAAATATTAATCAAAAGTATATGAATGACGATTTGGTGAATTAAATTTACAATATTCGCATTTATTAATGTTAGATGAAATGATTCACATGGATAAGATTGTCTCTGTTTCCTGGAATAAAAATGGAGAACTTTTAGCAACAAGCTGTCAGGATAAATATGTTCGACTTGTTGACCCACGAACCACGGAAGTCGTCGCAACTGCCAATAATCACAAAAACGACAAGGATTCCAGGGTCGTATGGCTTGGGGATAGCCAGTTTATAATGACGTCAGGATTTGATTCTGTAAGTACAAGAGATCTACTAGTTTACTAAATAAATTTAATTTCAGTTGATTCAGATTTACATTGTGGTTTTATTATTATCTGATTAGAACCGCATGCGTCAAATATTCATTCGCGACATAAGAAAGTTTGATACTCCAGTGAAGACTATTGAATTCCAAAGTTCGACCGGAATCTTAATTCCAATGCATGATCCCGATACTAACATGGTGTTCCTTGCTGGGCGTGGGGATTCCTCCATTTCCTACTTCGAATTCTCCCCTACCATGGACGATTTCTTGATCGAAGGTTATCGATACAACGGGGAGCAAACTAAAGGGGCTTGTATGATCCCAAAAAGAGCTCTCAGAGTAATGGAAACTGAAGTAAACAGAATTCTCCAGCTCACTGCTAACTCTGTCGTGAGCATTCCATACTACGTTCCGAGGAAAACATACATTGATTTTCACCAGGACTTATTTCCTGACACCAAAGGAACAAAGACCTCCGGAAGTGCTGCTGCGTGGATGGACGGGCACAACGGAACTGTATTTAATCAATCACTAAATCCTTCCGCGCCAAGAGAAGCTCCATACTTTCTAGGAGATGGAACACTCCGAGTCTTTAAGCAACCTTTGGTGGTTCGTAGAATTGAAGAACAAGCGAGTATCAATAAGATCATCGAGTCTGGAAATGAGGACTATAAAAAAGATGTCCCGGAACCGCGCCCAAGAAAAAAGTCTCTTACTCCTTGTTCATCATTTGAAGAAGTTGGAGATGATAGCATCATTCCTGCTGGGAATCCACAACATTTTCCCTCAAAGTTCTTTCCGGTACCAAAGCCCCGCGTTGGCGGTGTAAGTATTCATAACTAAATCCATTTTCTAGTTTCTTTCTGTGGTGATTTAAATGTACTTGTTTGTAACATTTTGAATAAAAATTGTGTAGAATACTACAACAAGCGGACTTCGAACACCAAGTTCGTTCATATCTAGAATGGCTGCAGATTTCTCACACCGAAGTACTTCATTTGAAGACACGGATAATCACAACATTGAATACTCCAGTTTACCCGATGTTGTCACTGCCCCGCCGAATGCTAATAAAAGCGAAGAAGTACTCAATGGAAATTTCCACAATAACAATGGCCATGGTGGAGCCTCAACTCATGTAGGAAATGGAAGCCCTGGAGATGTCGCAGAAAATGGAAACTGTGTAGAAGAAGATGAATTGAACATGTCAACCTCAGATCGTCGGAAATTGTTTGAAAGCGAGAACTCATCTCCACAAGGTGCAAATGGGGCCAACAACTTATCTCCAGGAGCTCGACAGGCCCGCGTCACCGTGGCCGAAAGGCTAAAGCTGTACCAGCAAAATACTAACAATGGCGTTCCAGGACAGGATGAAAATGGAGATCATTCATTTGAAGAGAATAAGACAGCTACTGAGAACCCACAACAAAGTTGTCATGAATCATCAAAGATGTCTAAAAGCAATTCTAACCACAGCAGTCTAGCAGCTTCTGCCGCCAAAGACAGAGAATTCTTTCCAGCACCAATAGCTAAGCCTGAAAGAAAGTTTACGCTACCGAAATCTGACCCTACAGAGAAAAAAGTTGACAATTCATCTCCACCAAATACTGCATTCAAAGCAACTAAACGAATCGATACAGTTTTTGGTGGGTTTACTACAATTATTTTTCTAAACATTATTTTTCCCGTATATTTATATATATAATAATCAAGTTGCGCTTATTTACTTGTAGGACAAGTATCAAAATACCGAAACTTTAAGGTTAATCCGTTGCATCGAAAATATCATCTCGAGAATTTGCGAAACATAAGCCCAACTTGTCCTGGAGAAAGTGAAGCGATTCAAGGTATGGATTCAAGAGTATTGTTGTATCTTCTAAATCATACATAAGTTGTAATCAGTTGCATGTTTAAGCACTATTTTGTACTTGTAGCAAATCCTGCTAGAGTAGCAGTCCCTTTGAATACCACACCTGGAGGAAAGTTAGCAGTGTTTGAATTCAGCAAGCCTGGACGACAACCCGATGGCGTTATTCCCGCATTAGTGCATGGTTCAAAAATTATGGATTTCATGTGGGATCCGTTTGATAACTGTCGCTTAGCCGTTGGTTGCGATGATGGAAGACTATGGATTTGGAAAATCCCTGAAACTGGGTTGAAAGAACAAACTAATGAACCAGAATTTACTATTCCTGCCCATGGAGAGAAAATTTACATTGTCAAATTTCATCCATTGGCACAAGATGTGCTTGCAACGGCTTCTTACGACCTTTCCATCCGGATTTGGGATTTGGATAAGAAGGAAGGATTATTTCACATCCCATGTTCTGAGCAAATTCAAATTTTAAGCTTGGCGTGGAGCCCTTGTGGTGCAATGCTAGCAACAATGGCCAAGGACAGCAAGATCCGTATTTACGAGCCACGTGTTTCAGTTCAACCACAGTTAGAAGGACAGGGGCCAAGCGGCGTGAGAAGTGGACGAGTTTGTTGGGCAATTGATGGTCAATTTCTCATTGTTTCTGGATTTGAGAAAAACTCTGAAAGACAGATTCAAATGTATGGCGTAAAGGATTTATCAAGAGTGGCTGCATATCCACTTGATGTTTCTCCCACCGTACTCGTCACATTCTATGATGAGGACAGTTCTATACTTTTCTTATATGGTCGAGTAAGTAATTGATTTGGATTATGTAGTTGGAAATCATAATTATGGGTTCATTACAATAATCTGTATAGGGCGATAGCACTATCCTGGCATTTGATATCACCGACGACGTTCCATATCTAAAACAAGTCAGTCAACATCGACTTACCGGTGGTCATCAAGGAATTGCATTTTTAAAGAAGAATGCCGTGGATGTGCAGAATGTGGAATTCGCCAAGGCATACAGGCTTACGGATGTCATCATAGAACCATTATCTTTCACTGTTCCAAGAGTTAAGGTAGAGTATAAAATATCATTAAATTCGATGCAAATTTGTAGTAAATAATTTTCAATTTTATTTTCTGCAGAGTGAATACTTTCAAGATGATTTGTTTCCACCCACAAAAGTACTTTGGGAGCCTACAATGACGGCAGAGCAATGGATCAACAATTGTAATGTTGAGCCACGTCGGATTAGCTTGAAGCCTCAATCTATGAAAGCTGGTAAGAAGTTGTTTCTTTGTGATTTAGAGGAATTAATAACACGTAGATAGTTTTTTTACATGCTGTTTTACATTATTGCAGTTGGTGAAATCGGGGCAGGATTTTTTAAGGATAGGAATTCGGACAAGCCATCCACCGAAAAAGTGAAGGAAAAAGCTACAAAATCGTCCGTCAGTTTTACTAACCGATTTAATGATGGTTTCGAGAATGGGGATAAGAAACAAGCTGAACAAGTAGTTAATATTACCTAACAACATTTAAATGTGCAAACCTATCGTATCTTTTACTTATGCCTGGACACATTTTTTTCAGTTGGAAAGGGCTATCAAAGATAAGCTTGAAATCAACATGACGCTAGAACAGGATGGGATGGAAGGAGTTGATGATGAGGAATGGGTACGATAGAATGTGTTAAAATATACTTTGAATTTTATTATATTCACATAAAATAAAGCATTCTAAGCTAATCTAACTATTAAACTTTCAGAACGAATAATGGAGAGCTGCGCAAAAAAATACCAACGAATCCGATAAACGATAAATAGACATAATAATTCGATAATTTTTAGTGAACAAATTACTTGTCAAAGCGTGTGTAATTATTTATTATGGATTGAGCATGTAATCTACTGTATTTAAAACTATGCTTTCTAAATGTAAACGAGGTCCAAATTAGTGTACCAGTGTATTTAAGATTGTAAATGAAGTCTAACGAAAAACAAACAGGTATTATAATGATGATATTGATTATGCGTACTATTGTTTTTGGTAGACAATTTGATTTGTTCCTTACTCTAGAGTCACAAAATTCTAGTCGTTTTTAGTAATAGTTAATACCACTAAGTTTTACCCCGTAATTAGTCACAAATTAATTACGTCAATGCAAATGGTCAAAACGATTTTTCATATACATACTCATTCACTACAATTCGTCTCTCTTTCAATACCATAAAAAATTCCAATATAAAAAGACTGCTAAATCTTCACGCCTTATAGTGTCAAAACTAAAGAGATTTAAAATCGTCTTACTGTACTTATATGAACTCACTGTATAAAATAATGCATTCCTTTTCTGTAGACTGGAAATTAAGTTGTGTTGCATTCATTCCTTATGATGATGGACTGATTCACATAAGCAAAATTCATGTAGGTATGTTATCTTGGAAGAAAGTCTTTGTTTAAACGTGAAATGTATGTTGATTATGTTGTGCCAATCCTAAAAATGAAGATATAAGCACCTAGCGATATTTTAATCTATTTTATTCGCCTCAAACAACAATTGACCAATTGATATATAAACAACTTATACTCGTGTCTGAAGACTATGCATGTAGACTTCCAATATTAAAACTTTCAAATAAAATTTCAGCATTTTAAGCTAATATGTAATAATGTTTTAACAATGAGTTACATGATATGACTGATATTAATTATTATCTATTTTGGTTAGTGTTTTAAATCATACAAGTACAAAATTTGTGTTTACCCAAGATTTGTGCACAACTATGTATACCTCGTATTAAGACTTCACTCATTCATGATTAATAATTGCAATCGTTTTAATAAACAGGTAGTGTTATTTAACTATGGTTAAAAATCGTTACACAATATGTATACTCTTTAATTAATTATATACTTATTCTGCCGCAGTTTACTAAGTCTGGCCTGGATGAGCCTATATAATTATAGATATCTGGCTATTTATGATAATACTTAATAGATGATAGTTACTTCAGCTTTACCTGCAAAAAACGTGTGATGACCAGTGTTTCTTCAAGATTAAAAAATAATGCTTATTGTTACATATTGCTCCTGCTAATGCTACTTATACTTGCCGAGAGACTTGTAAAAATTGTACCTACACTAATTTATTTATTTTATGAATTCTGCAAAGAAAAAGACACTGGATCATGGCACTAGAGAGATCATCATTATTATATAATCATGTGACAATAGACTGGTTTGGTAGGATTATAGTTGTGTCGTCGTTTGTATCGATTGTTCCCATTATTTTAACTGTATCTTTCCAGAATTATGCATAATAGGAAGGACTATCGTTATCTTTATAGTTTGTTTTACCGATAGATTCCAATTTCGCAATGTGTTTGAAATTGAATAATGAAAGTGTAATGACAACAACAAAACACAGCATGAATAAATGAAACCATTGCTTGAAAAAAAATGAACAATGCGTTATTGTTACTCTTACATGAAAAAACCATTAAAAATGATACTTGAGAAACCATGAGGCATTTTGAGACTATTTTCTTACTTGTTTGGTGGTGGTCTCGTTTTTCGCTCGGCCCGGCCGAAATTCCACACAAATGTTCAGGTGAAAGTCTCTTCAACTTTGAAGCACGCCATTGCAACTTGGTTCTACTCTTTCGAATTCTTTTGGTAGAAAATCATCTCTACTTAATAAACTAAATCAGACCTGCTGATTCGGTGCCATTGGAGTTCCTTTTTCTGGATTAAATTTCCCAAAATTGTCCACTTTAAACAATCAGAAATCTAATTAGAAGAAGGAACAATTATGTCTTCAGCTCCAGCCACAGCGCTCCCAGCCCCCATCAGGCCTTCATCCTTGATTAAGGTGAGTTATTAATTACTTTAATTATAGAACATGTGCTATAAAGAGTTTAACAAAAATCTGCATAGCGGTGACAAAATTAGGGTTGGTCGAATGTAGATTAATTTAAAATCTAAAATAACTGAAAAATTATTGTCTGTGTAGGTTGGGCGATGGTCTCTTCTAGCATTGGGAATCATGTACGGGATTTCTAGACAGAGTAGCCTGGTCAAGAAGGAGACAAAATTGCGAGAAATTGAAGCAATTGAAGGGCCTGCGAGGGAGGCGAAGAAAGCAGCGGAGAAAGCCAGACTTAACAGAGGTACCCGTCCACACCAATTAAATTTAAATTAAAACTTAAATATTTTCCTTTTTGCAAGTGTTGTGGGTTTACACGACGGAATGGGTAGCAGGAATTTGCTTGTTTACTAGGTTTAGATAACAATTGCCTGCAAAAATTACAAACCAGCCCAATTACTGACAAGTTTCTAATCAAATTTTTAGTGTCTCGTGATACTAGTTTTCCTTGCTTTTTCCAACTTAAAAAGTACAAAGATTTTAGATTACGCTATTTTTTAGACTGCACTATTATCTTGACATAGTGCATAAAATGAGTGTTTACCGTAACTTACTTTTAAGAGTAAATGGGAGATGATTGATAATGACTAAAAGTTTAATTTCTGTTTACAGAGGAACTTCTATACCTTGCGAAGGAAACCGGCACTCCAATTCCACCAAACTTTTAGACATCATTAGTGTTCAGTCATCAGTCATGTAAAAATTGGACCCAGAAGATGAAGAAGCAGAGATGATTAGTTACTCAATTTAGGTAGTTCAAGTTACATAATTATATCCTTAAAACAAAGGTAATAAAGTGATTGGTTCAAAACCCCGAAAATGTTATGGAAAAAGATTGTCAATTTATTTCGATTAAGGAATGCAAATTGATCGGATTGATTTACTGCTCTCAAATAACTACTGCAGCTAAATGATTTTATTGTCATGTATCAATTAGACTATATTCGAAGTTGCAGTCACTATTAGTTGGAAGAGGTGCACCAATTTTTAGCATTGACGAACATTTGCAGCCAAGGAGTGGCTTGTTTCATCTGTCCCTTGAGGTTCTGTGAGATCCAGGGCCATTGCCAAGGAAGGACACAACGTTCGGGATGAGGCATCATGGCCAAGTGTCTCCCATCCGTGGAACAAACCCCGGCGACTCCATCTAATCCAGAATCAAGTTTATTTTAACAACGTGGGAAATAATAATAATATAATGATTTTGATGGAAGGCCTACATTTGCTGCCATTTGGATTCATGGGATATTCTTCAGTAGGTTTCATGGAATCATCAACATATCTCAGAGCAATGCAATTGGACTTATCCAGTTCCGTATATACTGAGAGGTTTTTATAGTTGAAACGTCCTGCACAGCAAATTGAACAGTTCACTTAGCATTTCTTAGCCATGGCATAATAAACGTAATTAATTAATTACCCTCTGCATGTGCAATCCAAGCTCCCAGCACGCTTCCCTCCATTCCTTTCAGCATGATTGAGTTGGACTTTTCAATCTTCACAGTTGAGAAACGACTCTCATATCGGTCTGATTGATTGTGGTCCAGGAAGACATCTGGGACTGATGGGACTCCATGGTCATCACCAACAACATCAGTCTTGGAGTTGAGACCGATCCATTGCAGAAGAGCGAGAAGCTGACACCCATTACAAACTCCTAAACTGAATGTATCCTTGCGAGCACGGAAATGAGCAAGCTGGTCTTTGGTGGATTGATCAAAGAGAAAGCTGGCTGCCCAACCTTTAGCAGATCCGAGAACGTCTAGATACAAGAGAGAAAGCAAAAATTAAATTTGTAATACGGATTAGTTGGATGGATGAGTAATTAATCCTTTTTGTATCGTCATCCATCAAAAGCCCACCTGCGTAACTGAATCCACCAGGGAATACGATCCCTCTGAATTTATCCAGAGTAATTTTTCGAGTAACGATATCCTGCATGGTTACATCCCATACTTGGAAGCCAGCCATGTACAAGGAGGCAATCATTTCTCTGTCTCCGTTGGACCCTTCTTCTCGAATCACGGCCACATTTGGTGCATTCACTAAAGTGAAAGTAACAATAGTTGGATCTCAATTGCACATAAATTGCAGCTAAGCTTGAATGAATTGGTTTGCCATAAATAAATTTATTTTACCTTGTGTCAAAGCAGTCGATATTTTGATAACGTTTGGATCAAAGGTAAACTTGTAGTTTGGAACGTGTCTTGTCCTCAGAGATTGATACTCTTGAGTGACACAAACTGGGTTCGCTTGTCGCTTTTCGAGTTGCCAGCTCGTCTCCTCCCACAATTGGTACAGGTCGACCATTAAGGATTCCACCTCCATTTTCCCGTTAACGCTTATCTCAATGCGAGAAGCAGGACCGTAGCCGGACGACACACCGATGGGGTAAACTGGGACTTTGGCTTTCTTGAAGGGAGAAAGCACTTTCTCGACGTGAGTTCCATCAACTTCCAGCACCCATCCAACCTCTTCGGAAAATAGGACTTCAAGAGGACAATCTGACTCACGGTGTGTAATGTCGGCACGAAGACCACAGTGACCTCCGAATGCCATCTCAAGTAGACAAGTGACCAAACCTCCGTCACTAACGTCATGACCAGAGAGTACATATCCGTCTATGTTTTTAAAAGTGACAATTTTATATTTATCAATGAACATGCATATTAATATCTAATGAGGTTAAAATAACCACGCAGCATTACCAGTAATCAATGCTTGTGTCGTGTTGAAAGCATTGACCAAGATGGCAGGGTCTTCTAAATCTGGAACGGTGTCACCAAGTTGTTTGTAACATTGGGCCAAAGATGTTCCACCCAATCGACTCTTTCCTCCTGACAAGTCCACAAAGAGAAGCAGACTTTCTTTTCCAGCCGAAGGAGCTTTAAGGTCCGGGGTGACAACTTTGGTGATATTGGGACAGGGTGCATACGTAGAAATGACAAGAGTTCCGGGAGCTTTCACTGTATCCGTTCCTACTCTGGCAGCCATGGACAATGAATCCTTTCCTCCATCAACAGCAATTCCCAATTGTTGCATCACATTGCACATTGCTTCACAAGCTTCCAACAATGCAGCCCCTTCACCTGGAAGTTTGGCAGCCCACATCCAGTTCCCACTACATTTCACGTCCTGATAAACATTTAAAATATTTATACCTCACCAAAATTATGTACATACACATTTTAATGATAATGACACATATGTATGTGGGACTATGGGATACCTTCAAATCTGAAATTGGGGCGAACACAAGGTTGGACAGTGCCTCTGCGACAGTCATTCTTGCACCGGCTGCTGGACAGAGAAGGCCTTTAATTGGTTGTTCCCCAATTGAAGTTGCAGATCCAGTCTGGAAATCATGGCATAATTATGACCAACTATACACATATATTATCAGGACATGTGCATATGTTTATATGCATATGTAGCATTTAGCGTTTAATAATTAATGCTACGTAGACGTACTTTTTCGAAATGTGACAATGCAATAACAGCCACGTCTGCCAACGGGGTATGCAGTGGTCCAACGCATTGTTGTTGCGCCACTAGGCCAGAAACGGAGCGATCCACTTTGTTGGTCAAATACCGTTTACTTGCCACCGATGGAAGACGGAGTACACGTTTCAACGCATCAGCCACTGTGAGACCTTTGGGTAGAACTAATGGGCGAAGGTTGACCTTGTATTTCTCCATTTTAAACACCTTACGAGGCATTTTCCCCAAAACGAACTCCAAGTCGAGATTAACGGGATTTGGACGCTTTTGAATGGCAGCCAATTCTTCTGCAGAGACTTGAACAGAGCCCGATGGCTGGACAGGAATTTCCGTCAGCACCACTTTCCCATCTCCGGTAACCGTTCCCACAAAATTAACTGGACATCTCTCTCTGTCTGCAATTTGCTGTAGAAGACTTGCATCTTCCGTTCGACATAAGATAGCATCACTTTCTTGATATTCGGCTCCCCAAAGTTCCAACGTGTTGATTGTTGGATCTCCGAGTTGGAACTTTTTGGTAAATATGACAGCTCCATTTGGCTCCACAAGCTCCTTTAGGACATTTCCTGTAACATACACACATAAGACGTCGAAGAGGACACAATATGCATAAGATTTGTAATATGATGAAGCCAAGTAGTTAGTTGTCTCCTTACAACTAAAAACTTTAATGCAGCATATAAAGACCCACCATTTCCGCCTGCTCCTTGATCATGAATGCTGCAAATAGGATTTTTCTCTCCTAGCTCCAAGCAAGATCGAATGACACGGTTCAACTTTTGCTCCATTTCTGCATCACCACGCTGAACAGCATCAAAGTCCAACTCAGCCTTATTATCTCCTTGGACCTAGAATGTGAGAATAAACTCTGTTAAAAAACTAAATTTCAGACACATTCCTAATGGCGCATTTATGAATTTTCGATCCTCACTTGAACGGAACTTGCAGATCCCCCACCAACTCCAATCCTATAGATTGGACCTCCCAACTTGACAACTTGCATGCCCGGCTCTGGCTTCAGCTTATCAATCATATTGTCATCCATGGAACCAATCCCACCGCTGAACATGATGGGTTTAATATACTCTCTCCTTTCCTTGGAACTTTGGTCAATAACCATTCCAAAGGATCGCGCAAATCCTGAGATGACTGGCTCCCCAAACTTATTTCTGAAAATAAAGGCACAAAGTCAACATAAAATATATGGAGTATACATTTCGTTACACGAGGATGAGAGAACTAGCGTAGATTCACGTACCCATAATCACTGGCACCATTACTCGCCTCAATAGCGATTTCCACAGGAGGTGCAAAGTTGCTCGGATAATCCAGGTTCTTTTCTTCCCATGGAAGTTCGTAGTCCGGGATCAGTAAGGAGCCAAACGAGTAGCCAGCCGTACCTGCGATCACATACCCCCCACGACCCACGGCTTGAACATCCCTGAGTCTCCCCCCAGTTCCGGTTGTGGCTCCACTACAAATAGAAATCACAAAATCACATTATTTCATGAAGGGCAATATAGGTAAACACAGGTAACAATGTGATATGCGAATGTGTGTTTTGGTACCTAAAGGGTGCAACACCGGTTGGGAAATTGTGCGTTTCTGCCGTGAAAATGATATGACGCGTGCCAGGCTTAATGTGGAAAGCACTTGGCTCTACCACCTCGTTCGGAAGCATATTTTTAACATTATAGCCAATTATAGCGCTGCTGTTGTCGCTAAATTGAATGACGTTGTTCTGGTTTGTAGTCTTTTGAGTGTCCATAATCATGTCAATTAGAGATTTTTGGTGGGGAACTCCATCAACAATCATTTCCCCCTAAAAAATAAATTCATAACTTCAGTTTGCCATTCTCCACTACGAATACAAGCATAATCAAAATGTGACAAAAAACTTGTGCAAAACTTTCACCATACTTTAAAAAACCAATGTCGACTATGCTCACTGTTGGATTGAGCAAGATCGAAGCATTCCACGCTGGTGGGATTCCTCTTGAGCTTATTCTTGAAAAGCTCGGTGTAGTAGTCCAGATCCCAGTTATCAAATGCCAGCCCTGAAATTGAATAAAAATTCTATAAGCATCCATTTCATTGTTATTTGAAGAATCTGGACGAAAAACTTTTGAGCTCCGGGTTGAATATCAACTACGGAATTATGCACATTATTCTCTTTCTACTAGAAAACACCCATCCTACTAAGCTCAGCAAGATAGGAAAAGTCGAATTATTATATTCTGATATTATTAATACAACAAACGCGTAAGATTATTAGAAGTACCATTATTCTCCCCAAATATATACAGCACTGATAAGTTTGGTTAGATGATGATGATGACCATGACGCTTTTCTTCTTGCATGATTTCTAGGACGTATCGTATAATTTACATTATACTGGAGTTTCTCATTGTGTGTGACATGAGCAAGCTTTCTTCTCTCCGTTTATACGTTTTACGAGGTTTTCGGATAGAGTATCAGGGTTGCTTAATCGTAGTGGATTCATTCCCTTATGAATTATTGATTATTTCGTTTACCCAACAAAAATAAGCCCATTATTGTGTCAACTATCATTACTGTTCCCTTTATCTCTACAATGGTGCCTCGTTCGTGTATGGTAATTTACTTGTGAGGAGAAAGCCAACTATGTATGTACGGAGCTAGAGAGAGAGAGAGTCGACGGTTACCATTTTTTTTACATTGTCATCCGTTCGTGGCGATAGCGGTGTATGGATGCGTATGAATGATGATCTGTGAAATATTGTTTGCCCAATATTAAAAATTGTCACTGAAAGTCAACAAGTATGAGAACGACGAGTGATTAGTATTCCAGGGCACGAAATAAAACATGTTTACCGTTTTTTAAGTTTTTTGTGCTGATCATTTTTCTCACGTCTAAAATAATATCTAGATTTTTTGCAAGTAGAAAAAGTTGTTTAACGCTGAATATAGGAAAAATTTTGAAACCGAGACTACTCGTACATAGATATATACACATGTAGGTATGTGACCTATTTTATGTATCACTGCATGCACGTTAAGCGGGCAGAACATATCAAAACCATAATTTGTTTTGATTAGACGATTTGCATAAATTGTCATGGCCTAGAACAGTTTGTATATACCTTTCGGACGTCTGCATAGATTTTTATTGCATTATTAGCACGAAAAACCAGCTCAAGAAGACAAACTGTGGGAATGATTTTTGGGTTACAATGTTATTAAAGACTAATAAATATTTTCATGAGAAGCGGCACGTATATTTGGCATTGATCTACATTCGGGAAAATGCATCCTATTGATTTATCGATACACTCACATGCACAACCGTTTTCATACATTGTCGTCTACGTTTTTCCATTTTAGCAGTATAAGTATAACGATAAATTGGGTGCGAATTATAATATTGGAAATATTTCCTCATACGAGTAAGTTATTAGATCCTAAATAGAATGGAATGAGGTTTTCTCACTTGATTTCTAATCAGAAAAAATACTGGTAGAAATTGTCGTCACATTTTTCATGTGGCTGAAAAACTTTGGTTATTTTCCCGATTGTCATGAGGCTATTATAATCCGCTCAGGTGAGTCATTCTTGGTGGTGGTGACCGAGTTTCATTCTATCCACGCCACGCCAGGTGTCAAAAATTCTGAATCGATATACTTACGTGGTAGGAAACATATAATCAATTCTGCCATAATATGATTCACACACATGCATACTCGCAACCACTTTTACTTGGTAAAAGTTTATTTGTATAAAGTCGTCGACTCGCTCTCTTTCTCTCTTTTTATGCACATTTCCAACCCAAACACACAAATTGTTTTGATAGTACTATACAAATATTTGGCATCAAATTTAGTTCAATTTGAAGCTATTATTTGAAGCGTTTAACAACTTTGTGTCACAAATGACCATCGCCATGAGACTGCAGAGTGGGTCAAATCGTCCATGTACAAACAAATTGAGACTTGCTCAAGAACTAAATGTCTGCAGTTGGGATTCTTGTTAACGAGAGACTTTCCGTATCATTATCGAATTTTGGAGTAAAGTAAACACTAATTCATGCTGTCCAAATTTCTGTCAATCATTGAACTCGATTATACCTACTTTCTTTCATATTTCTTTCTCACATTTTACAGACTTTCTCGAGCTCAATACTTCGTGCCCTCAATAACACTTTTCTCACCGAGAAAACATAACATTTGGCACTTGTATATTGAAACCTTTCATTAAATTGCAAATTGAGCGCAATTAGTCCAGTACTTTCAACTTCTTCAAAATATTTTTGGTTTATATATGCATTTGCCACTATCTAATTCTTACGCTAAAAGAACATTTTAACTTTCTTGCAAATGTTACTCCTCGTATGCATAGTTTGGATTTACGTGAGACCAGAATACTGATTTTAGTACAAGAAGGGCTACATTTATCTAAACAAGTTCCACAACTCTGTTCGTTCGTGCAAATGGGAAATGTCTTACCCAGTTGATCATTAACTTTCTCCAGAGCAGCCCGTCCCTTTCCCATGATATCCACTTCAAACCATGGCTCGGGCTTCTTGTCCAACGCAAAGCTCTGTAACGGCTCCAAATATCGGCACTGAGTCATCCTGTCGTGCAGAGCTCCCACCACCTATTTCATTATTCAAACACTTGATTGAGATTTATCGTCATCCATTATACCTTCATTTTCTAAATTATTCTGCAGCTGTAGCCACATCCCAACTATTTCTGTACATCCATTTCACTCTACAAACAAACTCTACAAACTGTTGCACCACCTGAGCACAACCAGACCAAACTTTCTTCTTCTTAGAGTACGATGATTTTATTTTAGTCAGTTGAGCAAGAAATCTGATGAGGTGCGAGAAGAATTTCCAACCCCATAAAAATATTTTTATCCTGGAGAATGCTGCACTCACCTTCCCCTCAATTTTCGCCAGCGTCTCCGGTGTGGTTGGAGTATCCTCGAAACGGATCACATAACGGGTAGAGATTTCGAGACGGGTGATCTTCTTGAGACCCACGGCATTAAAGATGGAGACCGCATTGGTGGAGAAAGCCGTGGAGAAGTTCAACCTGAAAAGGGTTCATATGTACATTTGAAATGCATTATTTAATTTTATTGCATTATTAACAGCATACTTTCCACATCTTCTCGCACAGAAAAGCGATTAAGAAATAATTTCAGCAATCTACATTCTCATCTCAGGCTATGTAAAACTTGTTATGCGACGACTGCCTGGAGTTGGCACTTGGCAGTTGTTTGAGAGAGAACTTGTGTTGGTTGGTTGAGAATAATAATGATGGAAATAATCTCATGTACTGCTTAGAACATATTTGTCCTAAAATGTGTGGCTTCCTGTTTGTGGAGTTTTATAAGAATCTGCCCAATATGTCACTGTCTCCTTCATCATCAGGGTTGAATTCTCTCAGGAAATTTTACTTATTCACTCGTTCAATTTTCTCAAGTGCGTCTACAAAGTTGATGTGCGGTTAGAAAATAAAAGCGAGTGGTGTTTCCCCTCATTCTCACTTCCATTCCATTCCTAAACCGCAGGAGGAAAACTCGTCGTGAATTAGATTTAGATTTATTTAGGATTCGTTCTAGTACAACTTGGCACTGAACCGAAGGTACTTTTTTCATGGAAAGAACAACTGTATGGGTAACTCGTTATCCATTGAGCTACATATATATGTAGTAAATATAGCAGTGTGGCATGGGTCCCAAGTGTTTTAGGATGGAACGAGCATTTAATTCAATATGACATGTTTTTACTATGGCCAAAGCGGTCGTAATTTAATAAGCCAGGATCTTTGATCTTCTCCACTATCTTTTTTTTCCCAACGAGAGAGAACCCCGTGAACTCATGTGAGCACGACACAAACTCACTTTTATATTCAGTCATACTGATTTCCGTGAGTTTTCTTATGCCTGACCACATCCGACCCGTTTATGTAGGCCACAGATAAAAAACGGTACGATTCTCTTAATCCCCTGACTAATAATAGCTTACCCAAAGCACCAACCTCAGCATGAATTTCATAGTGACATGACATTTAAATACCAGATCATGCCTTTAATAACAATTTCCATCATCTTCTTGGTCATACCTTGGGCCAATTTCGATAATCAAATGGTTCTTGTCCCCCTTGAGTGGGAAGCGAGAGACGTCGGTGAGAACGTCCGGGTTGAGCACTGGAGCCAACACCCACCGGATTTGGAGGATCTCCTTGTCCGTGAGACGACTCTGAGTTTCGACATAAAAAGTCGACTCAGTTTCCATACCCTCGATCCGAAGGGGACTGTGCTTCTCAATCGCCTTCAACTTGTCATTCTCAATGTGAGGACTCAGCCCCGGGGTCCTGTAGAACTTGACGACAGTCGCCATTTTTCAAATCTACTGTGGGGATGATGATTATGTTGAAAGACAAAATTAATCAAGTATCTGGCACTGCTGGAACAACAACTGGATTATTCACCTCCTGGAGACTAGAACTAATTAAACACTGACACAGTTCTTATTTTTCAAACTAATATTCCACTTCATCACTTGACTCAGTTCTTTAGATGAGATTGATAACCGCTGTTACTACAGATTGATTGAATTGTGTAATCTCTGCTTCTCGGTTTACTTTTCATGAGTCGGCTGACTGCCTGACTTGCTGCTGTTGCTGGAGAGATAATGAAATGTTTTTCTTAACTTGTGCAATAACAAGCACATGACAAGTTGATGACTTGTCCACTCAATTTACTCTGAATTAAACTATAAAGAGTTCACTCCAGACGTTGGTAAAACTTAAGAGGATATAAGATTACGAAGTGAAGCAGAGGAAGATATGATGTAGATGGCTGCAAGAAGACCCGATAAGAGATGGGTGAATGGATATGGAAAAATATAATGTGGACAGGACATACATATTTCGTCACATTCACCAAATATGCAGTACTTACATATGTACATGTCATGCAGTCCCCAATCCAGAAATACTTTTTTGTGGAATTTTCCTAACCAAGGAAACCCCTTCAAGGGCCGCTTATGTATAAGGTTCATATATGTACGGCAAGAATCGCATAAGAATGGACTAATAATAGAAATGGACATACTGGACAATGAGGTTAACCCTTTTTAGACCAGTGTAGCTAAAAAAGTTGCATTTGGTGTTTCACGCAACTATATAGGTATTAAAAGGAAAAAATGCAGAATCTTATCTCCATCTTATCCTACATTTTTTAATTCCACGGAATATGAAAGTTGGTACCTGTAAACCATAATTTTGTTTCACGTTTCCATTTTTGGACAAATTGCAGAATGCATGATGATAAATGTGTACTACACAGTATGCAGTACATACTAGCTGCATCTCATCTTTTGACTGGATTAAATATGCAATATGCATCTTATGTCTTATGGGCAGCTGCATTCCTCAATTTCCGAAAAAATGCGGAAGAGGAAATGCAACATTTGTCTTCCTTTCCATCTCTCATCACAATATGCGATACGTAATTGTGCCAACATAACAATAATATCCGTTAATATTTGGGCCTTATCAATGCGGCGGCAGATAAGATACCCCGTATTTTTGTGTATGCAGAGTCGCAATTCACGCACCTGTTGCATACTCGCGAAATTTCCTCAAAATCCCCTCCGTTTCATGGCATGATGTCAAACTCAAGCATTTTTCATACTCACTATTAACACGACAATTAACTTTAGAACGTAATAATTTCTCAATTATTCTTTACTTCAACCCATCAAATTTTATATTGTGTCTATTCACACGGCTTAAGTCTCCGCTTTATTTCTTTTTTATTCTGAATAAAAACTATTTAAATACATACATGCACTGGAGAATGTCATCCAGTTTAGTCAGATCATTACTGGGGTCATTTATCTCAGTTTGCCTCAACTTAATTGCAAAAAGAAACCAAGAGCACAGCAGTTTTCTGTTTCTCACTCTCTGAGTTCAGTTGGGTTTCTATTTAAACGGCAGAAAAATAAGGGGCCCCGCATCTCAAATTTATAACTTTAAACGCAGAATTTAAATGTGATTTTGCCTAGAATTTTGAAACTTTTTTTAAAGAACGACACGAATAATTTCCACGATTGGTCACAGGACGGGTGAAGGACCCCTTTGTGTCACAGTTGGATCGTTGTGCGAGTTTTGGAGCGGAGAGAGGTGACTGGTTGAGTGGGCTGCTGGCTGAATGAACCTTTCTCATTCTCTCGGCAGTCGATTGCGAGAAGTCAACCGTTTTTCTTTCCTCCACTCGGGCTCGTTTTTTGTTTCTCAGCCGTTAGAAATTGGACGTTTTCACTTGCTCGAAAGTCGCCAAAGTTTTTTTAAGCGTTTCAAACTCGAAAAGAGAGAGGGGGGTTGGAAAAGATGACGGAGGAGGAGCAGGATTTCTCCAAATTGTCGTTAGAGGAAAGATGTCAACACAAAGTAAGAAGAGTTCTAATTCTCGTATTATATTTCTTTCTAGAATAATACTTAAAAATCCTTTTCAAATTATAAATTGTAGAATTGGAAAGCTCGCGTCTCTGCGTATGACGAGCTGACGAAAACTTTTCAACGGATCGACGATGACAAAGAGTGGGGTAAATATGGGGGGTGGGTTCGCAAGTTTCCTACCGATTCGAACGCAGCTGCCCAGGAGAAGGCCTTGGAAGTTACCCTCCTCTACTTGGCGAATGCAGGACTACCTCAGGCGGGTCGAATTGTGGCCGAAATCATGAGCGGAGTCGTAGCAAAATGCATTACAGCTTCAAAGGCCAAGAGTAAAGAGTTGGCGATGGACATTGCCCTTATGTGCGTTGAGGTGGAGAAATTTGAAGCTGTTCAGGAAGAATTGATGAAGGGGATGGAGCATAAGAATCCTAAAGTGTTGGCTGGATGTATTAATATTTTTACAGAAGTTTTAAGGTAATTGGTTAGAAATTAGTAATTACTATTGTCGTAGAATGGGATGTAATGATTTGCTTAATTTTTTAGGTCATTCGGACCAAAGGTGATTAACTTGAAAACAATTTTGAAGAAGATTCCGATTTTGATTGAGGATCGTGACAAGACTGTTCGAGATGAGACAAAGAAACTCATGGTAGAGTTATATCGGTGGTTGGGACCAGCATTTAAACCACAACTAAGCGCTGTAAAACCTTTAGTCGTGAGTTGACAAGACAAATGATTTTCGAGAGTTGCAAATTGTTCTAATGTAAAGATTGAAAGCGACCATATTTTCACTATGTTTAGGTACAAGAAGTGGAAGCAGAGGTGGAAAAGATAACTGAAAAACCACATCAATCGCGCTATTTAAGATCTCAGCAGGCTCGCGAAGAACGTGTTGCCGGTGAAGCAGGAGAAGAGGCGGAAGGTGTGCATAATTTTTAGCATAAATTATCAATCTAGTAAAATATTTAAGCTAAAACATATAAATTTGTCCTATAGAGGAAGAAGCTAGTGAAGAAGCGTCACCTGACATTGATCCGTTTGATCTTCTTGATCCGGTTGACATTTTATCCAAGTTACCAAAGGACTTTTATGAAAAGTGCGAAGCGAAAAAATGGCAGGAAAGAAAGGAGGCAATGGAAGCCCTCGATGCGCTTGTGGTGGCCAATCCAAAACTGGAGACTGGCGATTACTCGGATTTGGTGCGGATGCTAAAAAAGATTATTTCGAAAGACACAAACGTCGTAGTTGTTGCTTTGGCTGGAAAGTCTTTGTGTGGCCTTGCCAATGGATTGAAGAAAAAGTTTTCTCCATATGCCTCCTCCTGCATCTCAACGATTCTTGAGAAATTCAAAGAGAAGAAGGCTAGTGTTGTTACTGCAATGAGGGATGCAATAGATGCGTGTTTTGTTGCTGTAAGTCTATGATCCACAAACCGTAAAATTGATTTACAAATTAGTTGTGATTGCAAAATAATGACGTATTGACGTTGCTTTTACAGACCACCTTGGAATCCATTCAAGAGGATACTATCCAAGCTCTGCAGAACAAAAATCCAGCAGTAAAGTTGGAAACGAATACTTTCCTTGCTCGTGCCTTTGCGAAAACACCTTTCAAGACAATGTCTGATAAGAAGCTAATGAAACCTTACTTTACTGCGATTCTTGCCAATCTCAATGAACCGGGTATAACAATGTCTAAGTTATAAGCAAATAATATTGTGCAGGGTATGATAACTAAGGCTGAAATAATTGTGTGGTCCCAGATGCCAACGTTCGAGAAGCAGCAGCAGAGGCATTTGGAGTAGCTATGAAACATCTTGGAGAGAAAGCATTGGCTCCTCTTATCGCTGATATGGAAGCGATTAAACTTCAGAAGGTATCATTTTATAAAGATGTAATAATGGTAATAATGGAAAAATAAGTAAGTGGTCTTGTTGTCGTGGTCTTGTAGGTAAAAGAATACATGGAAAAGGCGGTTATTACAGCACCCAAAGAGAAAGGAGTCAAGCCTGTGAAAGCTCCAAGTTCAGCAGACATGAAGGTAAAAGCGAATGTCGTCAGAGTTCCAGGAAAAACAGACATCAGGAAACCAGGGGGAGCGGTAGTGAAGAAACCTACTGCTTCGGCAAACTCGTACCCAGAGGAAGAGTTTGTGGAAAAACCGCCAGCGGTTTCGAAACCAGTCGTTGCCGCTAAAAGTGCACCAAAGGTAGGAGGCACCGTTTCCAGACAAACTATTGCAACCACCACCACCAAGAAGAGCGTTAGCGCTGCAAAAGTAGTAGAAGAACCCATCGGCTCTAACCTTCCAGTAAATAATTTGAAAGCCCAGCGGATTTCGGATGAAATGAGACTCAGAATTTTAAGATGGAATTTTACTACTCCACGTGAGGAATTTATCGATTTACTAAAGGAACTGATGATAGCTGCTGGTATTGGCCCCACTCTTATGGGAAATATGTTCCACTCCAACTTTAAGTTGCACTTGAAAGCCATTGACACGTTACAAGATGTGAGCCCTTCCACCCATTCAATTCCATATAATATTATTGTTTCTACATTGCTATTGTTTTTTTCTTTCTAGGAATTCAACATGAACCCTGATGGAACCAAATGTAATCTCGACTTGATTTTGAAATGGGCAACGCTTCGTTTCTTTGACACAAATCCCTCAGTATTAATTCGCATTTTGGATTATATGATCAATGTTTTCCAAGTCTTGAGTGCTGAAGATTATAATATGGCGGACGTGGAAGCTGGCGCTTTCATTCCATACCTGGTCGTCAAGTTAGGAGAGTCAAAGGAAAACGTACGTGTTAATGTCCACGAAATTTTGAAGCGCGTATCAACGATTTACTCCTCGCAAAAAGTATTTACATATCTCATTGAGGGACTAAGATCTAAAAATGCCCGACAACGGACCGACTGCCTGGACGAAATGTCTAGTATGATTGGAGTTTATGCAATGCCAGTTATGGGTAACACGCCGCAACTTGCACTCAAGGAAATTGCCAAGCAAATTTCAGACCGAGATACAAATGTTAGAAACGCTGCTTTGAACGCTGTAGTCCAAGCCTACTACCTCGTTGGGGACAAAGTATTCAAAATGATTGGACAGGTACTAATTTTACTATCACAGTTACGCTTTATTAACATAACTAATAATACTTTTTTTTCCTAAATAATTAGCTTGCTGACAAAGATCAATCATTATTGGACGAGCGAATCAAACGCGCTGGAAAGTCATGTCCCAAGCCGGCCCAGTCATCCGCCACCCTTACCAAGCCTTCGGCGTCCGTGCATGGAACATCACGTATTAATTCTAGCGGGACTGTACATCCCTCAGAGGGTAGCCCATCGTCGCCTCCACAAGCGGCAATCGTATCTCCCATTCGCCAGTATCAATCTCAATCGGCAAGCAGTGGCAACATATTACAGCCTCAAAACTTGAACACTACATTAGGGTCTTCAAATGATGATTTCAACAATCGAGTGCTGCAAGCAACATTTTCGGAACAATGTGCTGTATCCAGGTTTGAAAATACTGCTATGATAATAATAATATTATTATTATTAATGATCATAATATTGGTTCTACAATATGCTTGGAGGCTTTTTGCTACTGGTCGGTCCGTTTCGGTTTTCTTTTTTTTCTTTTGACGACTGTTATAAGTCCACTCGGGTTTCCTTATCTATTCTTCTCGCTTCTCGTTTTTTTATTGATGCTACTTTTTTCAAGTTGCATGATTATTTGTAAAGCTAACAAAGAAAATTTGAATCATAGGAACGTTCTACCTGACAAATACCGAATTGATTTCGAAGCAATTGATAACATGTTTAACGACAATGAACCTATACATCCAATGGAACTGTTGGATACAAATGTTGAGCAGTTTCTGAGAGGGGAGCAAATCTCACTGCCGAAGCGACGGTACAAATAAATCCTTTAAATTTTCTTTGTAAAAGCTGTTACATACTTTCCCTTATACTTTCGGAGTACTGGCAGTACCGTCGAGGAATTAAAAATTGCAAACTATTCACTTTATTTCTATAAACACTTCATTAAAAACCGTCACATGTTACAAATTCATCCGAAAGTAAGAGGATAAATGTGTCGCATCTTTATTGTCATTCCTAAGTCTGCCCACTTCTGTGTTGTCGCCTGTTCTATTGTTCCATGGGCGGTACATGTAATCATGTCCAATTAGCTGATTAACAATTTGAATGTAAATTAAGTATTTTAAGCTTTTGTTTTACTTAGGACGGTGATAACCAAAATGCCAGTGAATTCTCGTAAGCCGTACGAAACGCCCATGATCCCCACCCAGGCCAATCAAAGTATTGACTTGGTCGTAGTCCAACTTGGCGATCCAGTGTTGCGCACTGCTATAGAATCCTGCGTCAAGCTTGAGAAAATGCTTACAGATTCGCTAACTTCACCGGTAAGCAGGGTACAAATTAGTCGCTAGCTTGTATATATATATGATTGATTTACATTTTTAACTCTCAACTGTAGATAATGTGTGGGCGAGTAGATACAATGTTGGCGATGATTTCAAATCAATACCTTCGGCAACAGCCTACGTTGCAAAACAGGGACGAAGAGCATTTGAATGAACTGAATAAATACTTTTCATCGTCAGTTCAGCTGCTGACTGCTGTAAGAATTAATTACGTTATCATTATAACGACTTGGTTAATGGTTGATAATAACCTGGTTGCACTTGAATATAAGGATTCGTCTTCTTACGTTTTTTAAATGTTTTTAGCTTTTCAAACACGAATTACTTCCAAAGAAGGCAAGCAGGGATGGATTAAAGGACATTATTTATCACTTGTTGATGCTCATCATTGATGACAATTTGGAGCAACTGACTGATTCCGTGACAATCATAAGGCTGGTGAATGTCATGGTGGTTCGGATTATTGAAAATACTGAACCTAATGCAATTTCATGGTATGATTATTTAACTTTTCGTTGACTCTCCATATATACATTACTTAATTAGCTAATTATCTCATTACTATTACTTGTTTAGTGCTCTGATTCGCCTTTTGAATGATGCATTGAATGAAAACGGGGGTGAAAACTATCGACTACTCGAGCTTGTGATGAAATGCCAGTGGAAATTACTTAAACAACATAACGTGTGGGTACAAAACGAAGACTATCATTGGGATACGAGGGCCATTTTATTGGAATACCACTATTTCATGAAGAATCATCCCTTCAGTTCATTCTGCAATCGTGATGGCACTCCTTTGAAAACTATCAAAACAATTGTGCATGCTCTCGTGATGCAAGCTGGGGTTGAAACCATCCAGTCGATCATGAATGATATACCAGAACTGAAAAACTCGGAAGGTGGAGTCTACATTAGTAAAATTATTCAGCGTGAACTTTTGAAGAAAACGTCAATTGCTGGTGTCACGTCATCAGCTTCAACCCTTTAAGCAATTTTAAATAATTGGCACTGATACTCTTAATTTTTTACTAATTTAAAGAAAGTTATAAGAAAGTCGCAATTGTTTGCCCTAATATTGTTGTATGCTTCATTCCAAAATTCCTGTTTTAAGGCTGTCTACATATATGTAAAACAAAAATCTATCAAGTCCTCTCATTTATGAATGTAACAAAATATCTGGAAATGAAAAATTTTATTGTAAAACATTTCATCCTCTGTTTTTAATTAGACTACAATTATTATTTTATAAGTTTAAGCCCGTTATTATTAAGTGCCAACCGTTTATGATTTTAGTTCTTTTGCATATTAATAATTAATTCAATTTATACTTTTGTACTTATTTCTGAGTGAAGTGCCCGAAATATTAACACTAAAATACGTCACGTCGAAGCGTTGCATACATACTAGACTGCAAGTAATTCATCTAATGAATGAGGCTTCCTAAATCCTGTTGCCAAGCAAGTACCTAAAGTTAATATTTATCTGTTGTTCTAGAACATAACTACTCGATTCTACACGCCATTACATTACAACTACACTACTACTAGCAGGTAACACGTTTTAACAGAGAAAAGGTTAATAAATGCGAAGAAAGTAATTCAACCAGAATTGTATGACTTTACTAATGGAAAAATAAAATAAGAAATGCATTTTAAAACAAATGTAACAATGACTTCCGACAGTTTATTAATTTGTTCCGATCCTGACTGATATCTGATAAAATTCTCATACATTTAAGTTTTATATATGTATTTATATAGGTTTATATATAATTTTCCATAACGTTATTATTCACTTATGGTTTCATTTACATATACATAAGAGGAATTCCTTTGAGGAGGAGTTCTTTTACAGTAGATGTTTGTCAAATCATCAAACCCTCGAAACTTGAGAATGAGGAACATGATGTAAAAACTTTTCAGGGTAAGGAACTAATTGTAGACGTTCCAAAAATGCTTTCATTTCTAGTTTGTATTCTTCAGGGTGGTGATGCAAGTGACTGACGTGAGGTGAGCTCTCCCATGCTTTAAGAAATACCTGCAAGTAACGAGGACCAATTATAGAAACTACACCCAATTACAGAAAAAAATAAGACCTACTTCAATTCCTTTCGCCTCCCACTTATCAGCCACAGTTCGAATTCCTTGAATAGAACCCACAGAGTCGTCCAAAGAGCAGAGGAACAATGCCGGTGCTGTTAAAATGCTGTTGTGATAGCTGCTACTCGCTAGATTATAATGTTTCGTAGCAGATTCGTGGAACTTGGCCATGTGGTATCTAAAACAATTTGTTAAATACAAATTGTATACTATCAATAGCAATGAACTTTACGTCACATTTAGTAATAATTACCTGATGTACTTTTCAAGACTATTTCGTAAGAGAGCATTGTTGGGGAAAATGGCAAAAGGCATTCTAGATAATTATCAATAGTAACTTTAGCATATTACAAATAAATACGACAATTATAAATTGAGAAATTACTTTACCCAACGGGAATTCCTTGCATATCGACGACACTGTCCCAAATCTGTCCACGAATTTGATTCAGAATGGGGTTGTATTTTTGAGCATTCTGGCTCATCATGTTCAGAGCTTCTCCCCAAAGGTAGCCTCCCACAGAAAATCCATGAACAATTGTGGACTGATAATTCCTGTTCAAACTGAGGAATGTCAGAATATCTTTCGCCACCAACTGGAAATCAGAAACACTTTACAATCTACGCTTTTTGCAAATTTTTACTGTGAACGCAAATTCGTGTGCACACCTGAGATCCGGTGACGGGCCAAAGTAACTGCCATGGTGTCAGGCTGACCGTTAAACATGTGAAGCCCTGATCTAAATAGAATCTGGCGTATTTTAGCACGTGCTTCTGTTGAGACATGAGCCAGCACAGCAGAATACATAGAGGCCTTTCTTCCGCTAGCTGTGTATTAACTGCTAATTGTAATGGATTGTTAGGTACAGTTGCAACGTGTTTGTTGGTGGTCACTAGCTCGATTCCTCTCGCCAGCGTTTTCGTGGTCAAGGTCCGATTCTGGCTGTGACTGACTGGAGAGAAACTATGCATTATCATGAGTGGTGTAACGGCCTGTTGGACAAAAAAGACTAGTTATTATCTCACTTATTAGCAGGATAAAATTAAAGTAAGCTACTCATCAACTAATAATGTACCTTTTGGTATACAGGCCTTGTATTAAACCATTTCGAAACAACGGGGAGCATCATTCTAATTTTGTCTGTCATTGTCATCATGATCTTCTTTAGAATTTAATCCACAAAATAAAAATGGTCCAAACGATTTATTTTGCTGACGCTTTCCTGTTCCCTCACAGCACAATATTGTATGTTCCTGCAAATATAAACATGAACAATCATTATCGCTTGTTTCATATAAATAAATATAAGGAGTCTAAACGATTCCGTCAAATAAAACTATTCAAATTTAATATTGACCTAATGACCTATCTATTCCAGATTGGTCTGATTTTAACTGTCCTGCTCAACAATAAAAACAATTCTACTTATTCTTGTTTCGTAAACAAAAATGTGTTTGCGTTGTTCAATCTATTCTTCTAATTATAAATTAATTTGCAATTCTCAACCTCAGCTGCATAACGGTCAACTTTAGGAAATACACAAATTCACTTCACCAACAAAGTACCAATTAGGCAGAAGGATAACATTTGTAGATCCAACATTACACATATTTAGTTGCATGCAACGCAGACTTGTTGAGTCTGGCTAGCCTACAAAATACTTACCCACCAAGAAACCTACTACTAATACATATAACAGGTTTTCTTTCTTTGTCTATTGCTAAAATAGTATATAGCCACCTCATCAGCTGGAAATTATTGTCCATGGTTATATTACAATACAAATGATGAGCCATATGCAATAAATTAATCAATATGATTGATCCTAGGCCAAACCCTCTCTCTCTTATCGAACCACACAAGATTATGATAAGCACTAATACCAAATAAAATTGCAAATTCCTACCAACTTTTGCCTTACCTTCTCAACTCAACCACAGCACACAGCAGAAGCTAGTGCATAATAACACTAAACCAAAAACTAACCTCGCCAATTTCCAAGTGCAGTCTCTTTAACGAAGAATACAGAAAAAGTAAATTATTGCCAACTTCTCACCATACTATGATATTAATAATATCATGTCCAAAACCAAAACTATACTGATGAGATTGACGCACGCACGATGAAATGAAGGTCACACATTTTTGGCACAAACCCGGCATGCTAAATATTCTCAATTCGCACACGTTTGCAGATTTGACTAAATTTTTCCTCTTCCCTTACACGAAAGGAAAACTAGTTTACTTACCTTCGTTACACGCAAAGTATTTATTAATTGTTATTATATAACAATTATTTCGGGTGAGCAGTTCACCACCTACTCGCGGCCTACTGCCCGGAGAAAGTTAGCCGAAATGCTCACCACTTTCGTATGGCAACACCACCACCACCACTGGTTTTCTCCACTAGGAACGAGCTACTATTGCAGACTGACAACGCGTAATGAATGTTGGTAAACTCTTCACTTCACTTTAATTTACTTTACTGATCAATGAACATTTTAGTAAATGAGCAGCTTCAGTGTGTGGATTTTGGACTCGGGTCGGGTGTGGAATTAGCAACCCTGTATATAATGCCTCTGCATGTGTAAATAGCTTATGGACAATTACTGTCTGGTAGAATATGTAAGTGGTGGCTATTTTGTGACCTAACAAGTGGGCATTTATGTGGTTGCCTGTTAATATTGTGGGACAGTAAGTTTGTTCATTAGGGAATTTTATTAGAGAATGGATGGATGGAGAGGATGGAAGGAAAGGTCTGCAATTCAGCGAAAGGCCGTTTAATAGGGCAACTAGGTGATCACACCATCATTGCATGATAACCTAACCGGTATATCCTCTAATATTCACTGACTGAAGGTGGACCAATATGCTGCTATATGCACCATGATATTAGGGATAAGTTCATTTCAAGTGTCAGGTTCAGGTTCATGTTCGTCTGTACAATAATTTTGTTATATATTATTGCTCGTACTTCAGCTTTTATGCACGCATTTGTATGAGTGCTTTACTTAGATATTTGGTTGAACTGTTATATTTAAGTTCCTGGTTTGTATTGGTCTTTTTATGATGGAAATACTCAATATATTTCTTATGTAAGGGAAGTTTAGTAATATTAGGCATCAGTATTTACAATTTACTGTGGATAACGCGTATACGTGCGTTTAATTTGAGCAGGTGTATAAATTCATCCCTGAAATGAATGGGATGAGATTCGCAGTTGGGCAACCTCAACAAGCATATTGCATAAGACGGTTATCTAGAATTAACTCGGACCCATCTGTCACGTAAATTCTCATCGAATGTTATGAATTACGTAGTTCATATTTGTGGAGAATGCAATTACTTATTTCTTCAAGATGTTGAGTAATCAAACATTTGAAAACATTAGTTATTTATGTGCAAGTGCAAATACATTTCAATCCGTCATTACAGATATTCATCAGTTTATTTTAAATAGCAAAAGGCAAGGATCATGTGCATTCAATCTAAAGTGCGTTAATCAACCTTCCAAATTCCATTCCACTAAATTTGCATGCAATACATTTCCATTTAACTGATGCAGTAACCTATGTATCCTTGACTCTGATAACGAATGTAGTTTCTGCACATTTAATGGCACCATCAATCTTGATTAATCGAAGCAAACAATGGGCTTATTTTTGGACAGGGACTTATGCTAAACATTGTAATGCGAATAAGTTAACGAGCTCATTTTACGCAATCATTAAAATTTAAAAATCTCTCATGCATTTCCTGATTTCTCCAGCCCAGCACACACACCTTCCTTAACACCAACTAACCAAACACTCATTATCTGATTATTAGTTTTATGTATCATTTTACTGGACTTTACTCAATCACTAAAAAATCCAACTAAAAATGCAAACTTCTTCCTGACCGTGACACTGAACTTGTCGAAGCAATCTAGCGGCCAAGCGTTCATCTAACGTTTCCAAAAAGCTAGCGAGCTGGCTGTTGCTTCTCACTCGCAGAATGAAAAGTTGACTTCTTTATCTCTATGAAAATAGAAACCCTTTATTTCTCCGTTTCCGTAAGCAAGCAAGCGTATGATGGGATCTTTTTTGGTGGCTAAAATAAAAAGCGAGTTCGAAGCAGCTTATTTGGAACAACATAGTCCAATCCAATATATACACAGGTTGGCAACTGAATTGGATGGAGAATTAAAGTGTCCAGTTAAACATCTTCCCATTTTTGATAGTTTATTCACTCCCTCATAAAGCGTGTATTGAAATGTTTCTCCATAATAATAATAACTGGTGCTCCTTTTTCTTCTTCTCGTCCATCATATCTCCATCGATTCTTTTATTGATCCGACCAGCAACATAACACTTGTTTACATATTAAAGCCATACAAGTACTCACTCATTCCCAGCCATCATCATTCTTTTACTCGTAATCTTACTAATTTCATAAATAATAATTACCAAAGTGGACACACAATTAAGATACTCGGCACGTCTACATATTTCAATATAGGGAACATTTCCAAGAGAAAGCATACTAATTATTACATTCATTACGAGCTAATTTCTTTTTCTACGACATCTTGATACGTTTCTTTGGAATGGGGACCACGTCATTAGTAAAATACCCTCGAAATGTCGCCCGAAATTTATTAAAGTGTGAAATAAAGCTTTAAAAATAATAAATCGACAACTCACTCGTCTAGTCATAAAATGTTATCTCTTTAACAAATCCAGAAAATCATTTTCATTTTTATTATAATGCAACAGTAATCTTCCACAAGAGAAAGTAAAATTTTGAGATTTTTTACGTAAAACACGTATCGGGTAATAAAATACAATATAGGTTTGAAGAAATTAATCAACAATAGTAACAAGGTATTGTGAGATAATCATACATAAAAAATCAAGCAACGTACCAAAAATGACAAGTGCTATATTAAAATACAACAAGTAGTGCTACTTAAAATAACAATGATTCCTGCAAAGATTAGCGTGTCGCGAGGTGTTTATAACGGAAAAGTTTTGTAACAAATTCATCGCTGTAAATTAAAAATTGTAACGTGTACAACTAGTCAACGTTGGAGGCGACTGGGATACTTTGCAAAATTCGGTCTCGCCATGGACTGTTTCACAACGCGTTTTCGCGACGCTGGGTGACCGGTTTTGTTTTGGGCACAATCTTCGGAGCAATTTCCGTCCTCTTTCTTCTCAATCAATACACTCTCAGCTCAAAATGTGAGTCCCATTTGGTCAGAGATAAAAAATATGCATGAAAATATAATACTTTGTGCATGAATGAAAGTGTGCCAGTCAATTTATCATAGTGCTATTTTTTACCACCTTGCGTTATTGTATGTGCATACGCACAAACTTGCTAAACGTATTGTGTATGTGTCATTAATTTCAGTGATATATTTGATTGCACGAATTTAATAAAACCATTTTGCACAGTAAATTGTAATGTGTTTTGTGTTGCTTGTTTTTTTAAGTTGCATTATCATTTCTCATGCTTTATATGTATGCACCTGTTCAATAACTAAAACGTACGAATTATTGAATTTATTTTGTACATATGTCGCCTTAAAAAAAGAATTGCATGCAACAAAGTTAGGCTATTTGGACCATCGGAAACAAATTTCAAGGGATTTATTTATTAATTAACACTATAGTCTAAGAATTTTGTACAATTCATCGCAAATTATTTATGTTGCACAACTTACATATATGTATTAGCAGAGTTAAAGAATATTATGTGGCTGCTAACTGTAATTGTTCGTCCGATTGCAGAGCTGGGTGATTATTGGTTTTTTAGGGTGGATTAAGGATTATGGATTAACCACAAAATAATGTGGATTGTGATTAAATTATTTTCGTGAGATTAATTCATGTCAGGATTAATCCGGATTAATCCATAAATTCTGGAAATTTCAGGATTATGGATTATGGATTAATAATCCGGATTAATTTGGTGATTAATGATTTTTACACTATATCTAGCGCAAAAACTTCAACTATGTGGTTTCACATAAAATATTTAAAAGGCCAGTTTCAATTGATATATGTAGCACAAGGCAGCGAGAACATGTTGATTCTTCAAATGGTAGCTGACAGAACAAAGTTGTGAGAACTTGAGACTTCAAGCTACACAGTGGGATGAAATGGAACTGGGAATTGAACTGAGTAATCCAGATTGAGAATTAATCATGAATAGGTAATCATGATTACTAATCATGATTTGGATTAATCTGGATTAATAATCATGATTAGTAATCATGATTGGGATTAATCAGGATTAGTAATCCGTAATCACGATTATGGATTAATGAAATCAAATGGGATTATTCCCGGATTAATTCTAATTCCTGAAAAATCGGGATTATAGATTGGGATTAATCTACAAAAAACTCTCATTGCCGGATTAGGGATTATGGATTAATAATCCATAATCCGGGATTAAAATCCATAATCCTTAATCAGGATTATCCCAGCTCTGCCGATTAGCATTACAACTCGTCTGAAACTTCACCTTTCTTCATTTTCTACGAAAAGCCCAACTCAAAATCCAATCAGAACGATTTGAGTCGAGTATGGTTCATGGTTCGGAAGTTTTAATTTGAAAACTAAGCAACTTCAAAGTCATTTCCGTTTTGTTCCATGTCATTGTTCCATTTCACCCTTTCTTGCTTGCCACCACCAGCAGCAAATCACAATAAATAGTTACAAATTCCCAGATGCATCAGAAGAAGTACTCTTTGTCTTTGTCAAATAAAAGGAAATCAGAGCAGAAGGTCATTCTTCATCAATGACTAATTAAACGGCATAATTAATGGAAAATTAATTTCCGTTTTATTTTTTAATTGAAACAATTCCAGCGGATTTATACATAGTTTAAAACCAGTGTTTGCTTGACTAAATTTCACATATATCTGTATTACTGCTTTGCATTACTGCACTTTTGTAGCTCCATGAAACACAATAAAATGTTTCTTAAATTAAAATTCAAGGCTGAAATTTACGCTTTAAGAAACCACAAGAGGATCTCACGCTCAAACTTCCTTTTGATGCGAGGAAATGGAAATGACTATCAAATTAAAGCTCCTCGGCTGCTGAGAAATTGCAGTTGCGCTGCTATTCCATATTGTTGAAGAAGCTCCGGAATATGTATTTCGTTGGATCTGAATTTTCTGCTGGACATTATGATGCTGTACATAATATAGTAAATAATATGTAGTAAATAATATGTGTACATTTGTATCTAGTTACAAGCTGCATGGTGTCTGATTTTGCTTGTATGCTTCCGTTGAAATATATAGCATTTTACTAACTAACCACCCACCCTCACAACTAATGTAGCTAATAACAAATGCTGAGAGTTTAGAGCGATTACGCGTGGATTTTATGAGGTATGACCTTCAAGGAGATAATATATTTTTATGGTCTAGTGTCACCGGAGGGAATGGTATTCGACTTGTCATGGCGAGAGGTGCTAATGGGTCAAGATTCAAAGGCTCAAAGTGTTAATGTAAAGTCTGTCGAGGGGGTTTTGACCCTCAAAAATTCTAGAGGACAATCCATCCCCGGTACGGAAAACATGAAGGGCGAATCAACAGCGGGAGGAGAAGGAAATGATGGGGTGAATATCTTAATATCTATGCATACATACGCGCATCTATAATTTGCATATTAGTAAATACTTAAACCGATACTTTAAAAGTATTGCACTGAAAGCTGCTTTTGGTGACTACTTAGAAATTCATCATAGTTAAATAGATTTTCACTTTATCGACGCTGATACATATCTCGCACCACAGATTCCATTGGAAAGTCCCTCAAAATGCGAAGTGATTGACGTCGCCATCGTTTGTGCTGGTCACAATTCGAGCCGATCAGTAGTCACTCTCATAAAATCTGTCCTCTTCTACCGGAAGAACCCCCTCCATCTGCATCTCATCGTGGATTCCAAGGCCCACTTGATTCTGAGGACGTTGTTCAATACTTGGCACATTCCACAAAGTAATAACTTCCTCGTCATTATTCCCATTCCATCCAATTCCTTATATGTAATTCCTGGTGGAAAGGAGAAAGAAAGTTGGTCAGGAGAAATGATTGAGTTTTTTTCGTTCTTTCTCTTGATACAGTGGACGTCAGCTTTTATTTGGCGGACAATTTGGTGCCTGAGGTGAACTGGGTTCCGAACAAACATTATTCGGGTAAGAAGAACAAAGGTGGTTCATTCGTCCGACATCTTATCATCACATGTATAACACCATGTCTACAATGCTTTTCTCGTATGTATGTGTGCACAGGGGTCTATGGGCTGTTAAAATTAACTTTGCCAAGAGCGCTGCCATCCTCTCTCGAAAAAGTAATCGTTCTCGACACGGATGTTACCTTTGCAACGGTAAGCAAAAACTGTACTCGATGGTGTAAATTAGGTTTGGGATATTGGTTTGAAGGTGATTGAACAGCATGTGTGACAGTGATAGCAATACAAAACCAATGGATGCACAATCAGTTCCAAAAATGATTCAAGGGTGATGATGGGTGAAAGAGGTAGCAAATGTGCATATAATAATTTTGTATTTAAAAGGGTTATCCCAGTAATCGACAATCTTCAAGATTCAAAACCAAATACAATCGTCACGACTTTTCTTCACTATTTTTTGTGGAAGTGAAATTTGATGGGAAAAAGTTAATGAAACTTTAAGTGAACATATTAAATTGTCTCATTGGTCATCAATATTAACCACTTTCAGATTCTTGACATTGTCCCTGAATTTATCGCTATTGAACAAAGTGTCGATACAACCTAGGTAGAAAAAAATCATGTTATTTAATAATCATCTTTATTAATTTACTATAATTCAGGCAATGCTAATTGTAAAATAGGTATGAATTTGACCAGAATCGGTCTGCACAACTTGCTCAACTGCAGAGAGAAGGTGGGAGTGGTTCAACGTTTTGTTGACAATTTGGTCACTAGTAAATTATCCAAACTTGAACAACTCCTCCAGTTCAGCTAAAATCACCTGCAAATCACTATGCTTAAACAAGTTTAATATATTATGTAATTTATTTAATAAGTCAAGTATATTATTTATTACCTTAGGACATTGCACAATTGTGGACCCTTTTCGCCAAAATGGGTCCATCCCAAGTAAGTAAAATGTACTAGTGCTATGTAGCATGTAGTAGAAGAGAATTGCACAATCATACCATAATGCAATCTGCTATATCATACATATGTACCCCTTCGCTCACTCAAGGTTCGATACCATGCCCAATTAAGCCACTAAAAAAAGATAATAAGACAACAGCTCTGTAGATTGTAGATACACACACCAGTGCCACCAGCAGTTGACGACGAAGGAGAAGAAGATAAAAATCCGTTTCCTCCCATCCGTAAAATCCCATTATTTAGAGGATGACAGACAATGACAGTCTTTCCCATTTATTTCCTCCCATCTTCTCGATAATTAGGTTTATAGAGCTGCTCCCAATTTTACACCCCTTCTTCCTCTCTCTCACAAACACACTTATCATCATCATCCCACCCACACAGAAATAATAATAATGCACACAAAACAATGATGACGATGACGATAACTCTGCAGATTTTTTCATAAAACTTAATTGCTCATGCTATTTTCAGACGCTGGGACTCGTGGAAAATCAAAGCGATTGGTATTTGGGTAAATTGTGGAAAAATCATCGACCTTGGCCAGCTCTTGGACGTGGCTATAACACGGGTTAGTACTTACGTATTTATAGTAAAATAAGACTAGAGAACAAGGAAAAGAAAAACTAAGATATTTTTTAGTTTAAACTTAATTAGGCGTCATAGTTAGTTAAAGTTAATGTTTCCAACATAAATATTTGACGATTCATTGGTTCCTTACTCCTGGCTCCACAGGCGTCATCTTAATGTCCCTCTCAAAATTGCGCAAGATGAATTGGCCCCACCTTTGGCGAATGATTGCAGAACGTGATCTTGAAACAATGTTGTCAACCTCATTAGCGGATCAGGTTAGCGTCAACTATGACCTGTTCCTTATTTCAAAATGCAATTTGTGTGCAAAAAAAATAACCCATCTTCGTCGTTTTGTGTTATGCAGGATATTTTTAACGCTGTCATTACGCAAAATCCTCATATTTTATTTGAGATTCCTTGTCAATGGAATGTGCAATTGTCGGATAACACCCGCAGTGAGTCGTGCTACACAGAAGTTACAGATCTTAAAGTGAGTGTTCATCTCCATATCCTTGTCTACTTAAAGATCCGTCCTTCTTTTTGTGAGTTACCGTGCTGCCAAGTCAATTTGAATGCTTAATAAGCTCCGTAAACACAAAAACCGGCAATCAAAGATGCGAACTTTATGCTCCCATCATCCAATCTCGCCTAATTATTCCGTCCATGCATGATAACTGCTCTCTTTTTCTCTCCAAACCAAACGACACTATTCATTAGGATTTTAAACAATGACAAATCCCATCCGTGCCCACACTTCATTTCCTCCTCCTCCTCACTCACCCATCATCCTCCACCAACATGCCATTTCCTTCCGATTTATCTGCATGCATTCTCTCAAGAAGAAATCATAGTCTTGCCAAGAAAAGTGTACATGCCGCATTCATGACAAGAATTTGCCATTTAACATTTTCCTCTCCATTTATCCCATCTTGCCACAAACAACCACCCGCCGTGATCTCTTTTGCAGAGTATGAATGCCATTTTTAAATGACGGGGTGAGTGCCTAACTCCATTTTTTATTTTCACCAGATAATTCACTGGAATTCGCCCAAGAAGCTCAGAGTGAAAAATAAACATGCCGAGTTTTTTCGTAAGTAATGTTTGAAAGTTTGCTAAAAAAATAATAATAATTAAGAGGTTAACTTTTTATTTCGAGGAACACTAAGTTTGTGTTGCACCCATTCTTGATCCTCTATTATACACTCTGTTTCTCATTTTTAGGCAACCTCCACCTCACATTTTTAGAGTATGATGGAAATCTGTTGAGACGAGAATTGTTTGGATGTACTGCTAATTACACCGGAGGGGCGGGCACGACTGGTTCGCTGCAAGTGGGAGTGGTTCCGACAAATGTTGAAGAACAGGTAATAATACCACCGCCAGTACCATCACCATAATATGTACGATACAGCACGTATGTACATGCACACATGTATGCAGCATCGTCACACGTATCATCACTCTCGTCGAAATAAAAAAAACGTAAGGAATGAGCGTGGTGGCAAATGTAAAAGGTTTCTCTCCGACACGTCAACACACTTCACAATTATTCTTCTTATCTATCAGCCTCAGAAGTTCGGCTGTTCAATGAGATCAGTCTTAATAACCTGTCATTTTAATGGATTGCTTCTAGATAAGTGAAGACGACCAGTGTTACGAGTTCAGGATCGTTAAGTTTATCAAGTACCGAACGCACTTATTCTATTTGGATTTCGAGTACGAGTCTGAGGATGAGGCGGATGTAACACTAGTCTCACAACTATCCATGGACCGGCTTCAAATGATTGAGTCGCTGGCGAATCATTGGGAAGGTGAGTGGGCTGGAAATTTTGAGACTTATTTTTATGATCATGGTAACAATGATGCGATGCAATCGGTGAAAGTGTGTGCAGAGCCGATCTTATGAATTTGCTTTATCACATCATACCATGAATATTTAGAGTTTTTGGTTTCTCATGGAGGAATCCCTCTGCATGCAAACTCTAATCATGTCGTAAACCCCACGTTTTCCATAAACCAAAACCAACGTTCTCCTGAGAGATCTCAAAATTACAGAGAGAAAGATAGTTACTTGAAATTGCTTGTTCTTGTTCTTCTTCTTGAATAAATGTTGCTTAAATATGACCATAAGTCGGGCGGGTCCCTGCTGAATTATGATCCATTTGATCAATGAAAACATCCAAAAATTATTTATCGCTTTCTCCTGCTGCATCCCTGTAACGTGAATGCACGAGGATGAGCAGTTGGCAATTACAGCACACACCTAAGAGTAAATTTTACTTCATAAAATCATAAGCTCGAGAAACCAGAGATGCAGCAGCAGCAGTTGTGGACGGAGCAGAGTAAGTGTATAATGGAGGAAATTTAGCAATAAAGAACCCACTAGAGCTCACACTAAATTAATAAGCAGCACAGAGTTTTGCATGGACATAAAGTAGTTTGTTGTTGGAGGAAAAGTCATAAAGCCGGCCTTTTAAGAGCTGTTTCCGCTCTTCACCAAATTACGCAACTCCCTCGAGTGCAGTACCTCTGCTTTTGCTACATCAGGGTCTTTTGTTCCACTTGATCACACCACCAGCACTGCCACCCGATTCCATTTGTCTAAGGATGAGTGAGTCCACTTCACCCCTTTTGCTACCTGTCCACCAGTGTAGATTGTAGACGGCCATGTGTTTAGGTAGAACTGCAGACAGGAATAAAATTAATTAATCAGTATTTAAAAGGACTAACCAAGAGGAGAGGATGCATCATTTACGTAAATTCTGAGTCATACATATGTCCACGTATCTACCTTTGTGCAGGGTTGGATGGGTGGTTTGGTTCTTTAGGTGGGTCGAGGAACATGAGATATCTTGAGGAATAAGGATAATATGTGGTCATTGTGGTGATGGCGAATTGCGACTAGAAATTTCTCCAGCTTTCTCCTTCCCATCCCGTGGGGAAAGTCGGATAGGTTGTTTGAAAACATGAATATTTAGGAATATTGTCACAAGTATTGCCATTTAAAGTCTAATCCGTCTTGCAACTGCATTCTTCACATTGCATTCATCATCAATCTCACAACTTTCTCTCCCACTCACGTCGCAATATTATGAAAATATCCTTGTCCTATTTTTATCGGGTCGAGTGGGACGAGGGTTCCCTCGAGAAATGGTAAATAATAATGTTAAATGAACAATTCGTATGAAAACTTTATTAGCTGTTTTCACCATTCGAGCCTAAACATACTCCACTTTTATGGCATAACAGTTTTACCAGCAACCACAACTATCCGTGCCTTGCTCCATTGTATTAGATCCAGTAATAAATCTCATCGCTTATTGCTCATCCTACTAGAGAGGCATATATACGCATAGCAGATTTTGTGGTTTGGGTATGAATCATGCACAAAAGTGTGCAGAGTATCAGTGGCCAGCACATTTTGTTTATGATTTAAAGAGAAAGTTGATGGTGAAAGCAATCCCGGATAGAATTATGAAACAGAAAAGACAGCCACAAAACTTGACTCCTCTCGACTCTCGGGTCGAGTTAATAACATCGCACAATACAAGAGTGGAGTGGATGTGGCAAAGTAATGGCAATAGTAATGAGAAAATTAGCAGCCATACACGAGTTGCCCTTTGACGGATGAGGAAATCAGGATAACCGCACACAAAAGCTCCGTCAGTGTTGTTTCGAAATTTTCTCATATACCAATTGCAACAACATATTTACTAAATACTTGCAGTGTTCCTTCACGGGATGATCGGCATCGTGTTAATTTTATAATAACGTCCATCCACAAGCCAACCGGTTAGACACAGGGCGCAATAATTATCAAGTTCATTATAGCATCATTATTCCAACAATGACCACAATTATGCAAAACACAACATCATCAATTTCACGAGCAACTTGTACATTCATTTAGTTATATTATCATGGTACATACATCTTTTGCCTGTGCAGATGGGTGAAATATGTATGACCTGAGAATGCATGAGTTGTAATAAGTAATTCCGAGATTAAACAAGCGATTTAGTATTTTTCTCTCTTACGTCATTCATGATGGGATTATAAATTTTAAAACAAAGGCACATAAAGTATGGAGGTCCATAATTGTAGTAATCATTAAATGTTCTTTAATTCCATTTAAATATTGAATGCATAGAAGTTGCATAACTCAAAAAAAGGTACGCAATAGGCATTGTGAAATATAGTACCAGGCTTTTCATCTTTATCTCGTCGTCGTCACGGGGGTACGTCATGTTGTGTAAGTCAGGTCATATATTTTCAGCCGCCGGGTAACCACTACTACCGACTACATACATACTTTCCACCGACGGTGACCCAAGGTGCAAAAGTGTATTAAACTGGTATTGAATTTCTCAATTGAGGAGCTGCGAGAGAGAACAAGTTGGAAACCATGAGGAGGAAAGAGTCGTATATTATGTCATCCAATAAAAATTCATGTCTCGCACTGACACTGTCCGTTGTTTAATGGTTTTTGCGAAACAAGTTGCAGCAGTTCAAGTCCGGTCGAGACAGGAGGTTGAATTTAATTCTTTTGTGGTTTTGATTTTCTGGCAGCAGCACACAAGTTGCGAAAGTTGTAGTCGACAAATCTAATAACTTGCAATAAAATTCACTTCCTGAACTGATCATCCTCGTCCTGAGCTTAGCGTCGATCAGCCCCCTCGACATGACTCCGCCGTTGATTCCTTCCCTCGATATGCCAGCTCAGTTACGTGAATTGGTTGGACGAGCTGCTAATTGATTTCATCCTCACATGTCATTAACCAAATGATGTTGTCTTTTACTCCTGCTTGCTGTTTTTCTTCCTCCTCTTGGTCGTTTTCCTGTTTTGCAGCTGGAGAAATAATAAATTTTTAATGCGGTTCTTCTATACTCCCCACTGCCTCTCTTGATTAGTTTCCCACTACTCGGGAAGAAAAAAATCTCAAATTTTATTTGACACGTCAACTCACTCTACGGCAGATGAGATTTCATTCCTGCTTCTTCTTCCTCGTCGTCGTCGCATAGCTAGATATCTGTACATATAATTTGGCCGACGGAAAAAGGATGTTACCGACACCGAGTTCAAATCCATCACATCGTATTACATCCATGTGTCAATTATTTCACTCTGGTGCATGTTTGTAATGATAACAACGTGCGCCTAATGTGGTCTCATCTCTCTCTTCTACTAAACACTTATCCCATTTCCATGTTATTAAGCAATTGACATCGTGTGAACTGGTGGAGTGAAATTCCCATGACTTATTTATTTACGGACGAAACAGCAATAATGACACTACATGCCTTTTATCAGACCGAATGAGAAACAGACAACACGTTATTTTGCGCAAGAAAATTCGAGTGATAATCTCACACAACGACATATTAGCAATACGATAAGTATTTATACACGGACACGTATTTATTTATATATTTTTGTTGCTCTCCATGAGTACTTCATGCTTGGTATGGTTCACGTAGTACATAGGAAAAATGCCTGCGCGTGTTTTAATTGGTGCAAATGCTCTGATAAGTGTATCTTAATTTGTATCTGTTGCCCAATGTTCAGGTCCCATCAGCTTAGCCTTGTACATGTCGGATACCGAGGCACAACAATTTCTGAGCTTTGTTCTGAGCTGCGAGCCTCTGGCACAGCGGAAAAACATTGGATATCACATAGTCTACAAGGAAGGGGTAAGTTTTGTTCAGGTGGTAATTAAAATGAATTGCTTTTACTACATGATGCGCGTCCAGAACAATAATCAGGTTTAGTCTGAATGTCAAGTCGGTGGGTGTACACATGTATGAAAATATGTACATTTGCAGGCAGTCAGGGTGTAATAAATGGCGGAGAAATTATAGCTAAGAAAAATAGAAACGTGAACATTGGCAAGTAAACTGTATCCGCGTGCTTCTCCTGTCGTTAATAAATCAGGGAACCGGTCGTCGCAACTGATTCGATGCACTTTTTTAACATCGCTACTAGCTGAATTTTCTGAACTAATATACATTCAAACTGAGTATCATCTCTGTCCAAGTTTTCTAATTTTTAACATGAAAAGCAGGAACAGATTGTATCATGAGCAAGTTTATTTCACATTTAAAAATTTGCAATATTTCAAAAGATGATCATCTCATCTCATCTCTGCCCATGGTGCAGATCAAGATGATGAAACACGATGAAATGGAATGCGCAAAAGCGATGAACTGGTCAAGTTGAAATCCAAATCGTTTTTTTTTCGCTGTGATGATACGCCATTTGCATTATTCTTAATTCCATATACAACTGTATCTGCAACTACTTTATTATCTGAAGGTGAAGAATGTTTGATTTGTTGTTTGCAGAGTTTGTATCCTGTGAATTTCCTCCGAAATGTTGCTTTGAGGCAGGTGACAACCCCATTCGTCTTCCTGATTGACATTGACTTTTTGCCCATGCTCGCTCTCTACCCCTATCTCAAACGAGTCATCCCAAATCTCCGTATGGACGAGGGGAATAAAGTAAGTGATTGCTCTCTCTCTCTCTCTTGCTTATTTTACTGACGGGATCTGTCTTCACCCACCCAGAAAATTAACAAAAAATACCACTGATAGTTAGCACAGGTCAACTGTGATAAATTTTACAATCCATCAATTATCCGAGGCAATAGCTTAAAAAGACTAGTTTCTTCTCCTTCTTCCAAAGAAGGTGCTAAAACTGACAAGAATTGTATTCCACATTTTTCAAACCTCTTCTCATCTCCTTCTTGGGTGGTGTTTTGCATGACAAATTTTAGGCACTGGTGGTTCCTGCTTTCGAGTCCCTACGGTATCGCCTCAACTTCCCCAAGAGCAAGGCTGAACTCTTGAAAATGCTTGACGTCGGAGACCTCTTCACTTTCCGGTATCACGTCTGGGCCAAAGGTCATCTCCCCACCGACTTTACAAAGTGGAGATCTGCCACCACTCCTTACAGGGTATGTTGTTCAACTGCATGTGGTCTGGCACTACAAATTCGACTGCTTTCTCTGATCGTAATTTCCTCCTGTGCCCACAAAGGTAAATTGGGAGCCCGACTTTGAACCCTATCTCGTTCTTCGAAGAGATGTCCCCGAATTCGACTTGCGATTTGCAGGCTTTGGTTGGAACAAAGTTTCTCACATAATGGAATTGGAAGCCCAAGGCTACCAATTTATCGTCCTGCCAAACGGCTACATTGTCCACACGCCACACTCTCCTAGTCTTGATATTGCGAAATATCGTTCTAATCCACTTTATAAACGGTAAATAATAAAAAGTCAGCTAAAACTGGTTCGTTGTGTAAAGTCATCCATCATGTCCACTACAAGTTTGTTTTTTATTACTACTCATTTCAGGTGCTTGGACACTCTTAAGAAAGAGTTTGCAGATGATATTTCTAAAAAATATGGCAAGACCTTTGCTCCAGAGAAATGATGAGATTACGAGTACGTATGCATGACTCTGAAATTATGACGCTTCGACTGACTCCGATGTAATGTATGTAGCAGCAACTTTATCAAAGGTCCCGCGGGAACTAGCACTTATTTTATAAATCACTTCATCAATAAAGTTATGGAAAAGTCATCCTATTACATATGTCCGAGAATAACATTCCTAATTATAAATCACAATCTCCCACAGTGAAAACATGCAACTAAATTATCCATCATTACATCTCAACCAAAATACCTTCCCAACTTTCCTCTCGTCCATATCCAAATAATTATATGAAACTAATTTGTCATTGATTTACCTATTTTATGTATAAAACGAATGTTATCCAGTTTTTATTGAGACTTTTGTACCTTTCATGAGACAATATAAACACCGCAGTACGGATTTACATCAGTGTAATAACGCATTGTATAATAATGATAATTGATTGGTTTACTTACAATCAAGTCCTTATATGTTGTTAGTTATAAGGATTTTGTTTAAAAAGTCAATCAGAAATAAATAAAAAATGTAGCGAAAATAAAAATATGTATTTAAAACAATTGCAATCTTATTGTTGACTTTTTACGCACGAAAGGGTGGCATTAAAACCTTTATTGTTATGCTTCTGACATACAAAAAATTCTACCATTTCGCTTTTGACACCACATTGGATAAATGCTTTAAATATCTAAGAGCCACATTTGCCACATTAAAGCTGGAACTATTTAGCTGCAGCATTATTACAAGAATTTCCATTGTGTTTTTGTGTACCTGTCGACTGTTTGCATGTAATTAGCATTTTACCTCTCGTTTAGTTTCTCCGTGATTTAAAAACTGGGAAGGAAGACGGGTGGGTGGGTGGTTTTTTGGATTTAAGGCACTTTTAGGTTTGTAGTTTAATATTTCATCTCCACACTGCATGTCCCACAAATTTTGATTCAATGCGAAATAAGTTGGATGAAGAACGGTTCCATCTTGCTTCTCAACAACAATTTCGAGAAAAATAGAAACTATAAACTCAATTTCTAGAAAAAGCTGAAATCCTTAGCCATCAAAATTATTTTACTAATGTTGAGAAGCAAACTGGAACTGCCATTTATCTAAGTTATTTCACATTTATCAAAATCAATGGTGGGCATGAACTCTAGGGAATGAAATGTCCCGGACACCGTTTGTTCTTGTTTTCTTCGAAGCAAAACTGTGTCTCATTCTTCCCATTTCCTTTGACTCGAATATATGTAAATATATATGTGCAACCATATCATCATTTCATTGTTAAAGAACAAATGCAAATCCAGCAGACATAGTGCAATGTGCGAAAGAGATGTGTTTAATCCATTTAAGTTTACCTTTTCTGTCATAAATATCTTTACTACAGAAAAGCCACCCTACATATTTTCATGTCCACATTTGTGATATTGATGAGGATAATTTTTATGACAGTTTTTAAGCGAGGCTATTTAAAGTGCATGTTTTAACAGAACATACATTTATTTTGGACTCGACTTATTTTTCACACCAGAAAGTCACGACGACGACAACGACATTCATCTCTACCAAAAAGCAGAAATATGTTTCTAAACGATTTTTCGACGGGGGGAAAGTATTCCCACGATTGACACCGTTGTTTGGAGATTGGAGGAACACGAGACGATTTACTAAATTTTTCTGAGCAGCATAGTTTTACTATATGTACAACTACTCATCTTCTTGTCTTCTTCCTTATGAACTTGAACCCTGGTGGGAATGACTTTGTTAAAAAACACAAAGTCCGCATGTTAACCGAAATTTGTTGTATCTGCACCCTTTGCCACCAAATTACCACTTCTTTCCTACCCCAGTTTCTTTTACGGGACCCGACATGAAGTTGGATATTTGACTCCACTGGAAAACCAATAGATATATTTGACTAATATCCAACAACACTGTGTGCATCGAAAACTGGTGAGGATGAGAGGTTTAAATTACAATTCTGTGGCTTTTTTTCTTCCCTTTGCCTTTCCTAGATACTTGCATGTACTTGCATGAACCCTGTGCAGAGCTACTGGCTAAACAAATTCAGGATCGAGTGGGTATCACTTGTGTGAAATAAATAAATTCACCAAGATGCTGCAAAATGCTCCTATTTCTCGTGCAAAATAATACATCCTTTAAAAATTGTTGTGAAATGAAACATCACACAGAGAAATTGGAATGTCTGCAATTGTGCAATTGTGAATTCTCTGTTGGCTCCGACACTTATCCAAACACAGAGTTGTAACCCAAACAAAATTAGTGTTCGGAAAAAGTGAGCAAGTTAGTAAATGAGACTGCACACAAGATATTCGACAGGAATGGAACAAGAAAACGACACCAACGAAGCAATAATAATAAGAGTTTCGAGTCAGAGCAACATTGACATTGACATTGCAAGGAATTCTTGTCTAAATATATCCCACAAATCTTCCATCGGCTGTCGGTAACCCTGTCGTCATCATGAAACTGATGATCACTCTCATCTTCTCCTATTACCAAGTTGGTAATACCAACCCATATTAATGACTTTTATGATACGGTACAAAAAACGTATCACGGCTACCATTTTTTATAGAAACAAGAAATTTTGGAAATTTATAGTGCAGAAAAAGTTAAGTTTTTATCATGAATTTGATTTTGGCCTCTTGTATTTTTCATGCCAAATACTAAGAATTATTGGATTGGAGATTGCAAAACTTCCGAACTTCTTCCTACCATCAGTCCAATTACAATTCTAATGCAAGCTCTCATTTCCCTTATAATCAAAATCGTCCCCTACAAACTATATTGTTAGTCGAGTCTCGTTGGTTGGTCCCCCTTTTACTCGACCAAGTCTCAACTTTAGCAATTTGCAATGGTCGGAAATCTCCAAGTTTGTGCCCTACTTTTAATCAGTGTTGGACAAACCGTCACGTCTACCCCGCCTGAAAGTAAGTCCATGTATATCCAACGTATTTGGAGTACTTAGGTACAAAGTCATGAAGTGGTTAAGTTCATGTTAAGTGGGAAGTATGAGAGGCCGTCGGGAAGGGTACGGTTTAGGGACAATGTGTGAGACCAATCCTCAGAGTACTACGAGTAAGAAGGGGACAAGAAACCAGGGACTCCTCAATCTTCATGGTTTACGTAGCAGATTTCTAATCCTGTTCTCCAATCCTCCACCTTGGGTCGGTCGGTCGGTGGTTGAAGAAATGTTTTGGTTGCTGGCATTATTATACTCATCATCGTCATCAGAGTTCCTATTCCTATTGTAATAAAGGAGGAGAAGGAGGAGTAGAAGAAGGACGAGCACAAAAAATAAAGTTTCTGCTCCACTGCTTAGGAATTTCCGGTCGCTGAAGGAAAATGAAAGGAAGTGAGTTGGTTCAGTGGTCCAGCTCCAGTCCACACAAAATCTCACAGCCAACAAGAAATTACAACGACGACGACGACGACGACGACGCAACTACTGAAACTGACAAGATGAGCAGGAGGCCAGTTCTCAGCCACATATATCAAACAACAGCAACATTATATTCCACTCTCATGTCTCATCCATTTTAATCCACGTTGTCCTCTCCATTATTCCAGTTTAAGCTCGTCGGTCCGTTTAAACTGGCACTTTTATTACGCTGGACAGTAGACTTCAACTCAACGGTCATCTACTTTTCATAATGTGATATTTTTAATTATACTTTGAGCAAAATGAGACATCCTAATTGCAAAACAGATCACGCTGATAACTTGATATCGCTTCACTATTACGTTGTACATAGTCATCTATAATTATTTTTTATGATTTTTTATAGTGTAGAATTGCGCTGGAAGATTGTGGAAAAAAAATTCAGCATACATATAAAATTACTCGGCTCTGCTAAACACACATTATTAACGCTTCACTTTCAAAGCGTGACTTTGTGTTGTGCACTACTGATTTTTGTCATTATTCGTCTTTGGGCGTATAATTTCCGTCTGTATGTCTGGCTGGATATATGCTCACAGCATCGGAACTGGGGAGAAAAGACATATTTCCATCTTCCCAACGCCCTTATCTCAAGTACCATGTTAATCTAAGCATATTATGGTGGATATCCCCACTACAAACGATGCAGGTAAGTAAACTGTCACAATTAGAAAGCCGTTGAAATTTAATTTTGAGTGAAACGAATCCAAGCCCGACCTCTCTGCAACCTGTCTCACTTGCATTACGTATTATTTTCTACCTTATTACACGCAGAATCTGCTGGTCCAAAAAAATCATGTGCACTCCGTAATAAGACGTGTTCCAGTCCAGCTCACGTAATAAATAAAATTGAAAAAAGAAGCTCACCCATTCTCACTCGGAGAGAAGTGGGTGGGTCGAAATGAGCCTTGAACCCCACAAGAAATTCTCCACGTTCAAAGTCATCTTTCTTCACCTCACTCTCGGCGACCTTCTTCGAAGGACAAAAATATGTTGGGAAATAAAAGGAAACTTTGGCTTTGGTGGAGAGCGAGAGGGAGCGAATGACATTATTCGTAATAATAATAATGGATTCTAATGATACAATCGACATATACGACGACTGAGGTTCCAGGTGACACAGATAACTTTCCTATACTATAAAAAAAGGTGTTTAGTCCGCTCTGATGAACATGAATGGATTTATACGGACTAAAACCCTGCATGGTTGTGAGTATGTGAACAGTATGCGTGATATAGATTTGAACCTAAATAACTTTGTCATCAATGGATCGCAAGCTCCGATTTCTTAAAAAAGCGAAGGAATGTTTTCAAACCGTTAAGAAGATACACATCAATTCGCTGTGACATTTAAAAGTGCAGTTGCATATTTCACCATTTCCACCAAAGTCGTTCCCACTTAAGGCATTTAATTTTTAGTGCAACATCCCAAGTGAAAATGACGTGATGACACTTTGCTCTACACATTTTTTTGATTCTAGTTGACACTCAATATCAGAATGAAAGTTCCAACGTGACAAATTTTGCTGGGATGAGATTTATTTAATTACTCCACTTTGAGAGATTGATACTAAATGCGTATTGTAAAAGAAGTCTGCTTTACGATATCCCACTCCTTGAAGCTCTTACTTTCTTCTCTCCCACAAGTGCTTCCCTTTCTTTGGATGATAACCAAAATCGACAGAGAGAGAGAGAATTGTCCACATTTTTCTGTCACGAATCCTGTGCTCCTTTGAAATTGGAATAAGTTTCTACACTTAAAAGCTGTCGACATAAATTTGGTTTCCGTCACTCGATTAATTCTGATTCGCATGCACTTGGAAAACATTTCATAATCCCGAACACCGACCTACCACGTACTTCATCAACTCCTGATCAATTAACCAGCCAGCCACCACAGCCCCCGACCGACAAGCAAGATCGCAAATGAGGCTCATTCTCACACTCTGAAGTGGATGTCTATTTCTGAAAAGGACGAGTTTTACATCCACACGGACACGGAGGAAGGAAGGAAAATACGGAATCGCAACCAACAAACCAAACAACCATCACTTCTTCCTTTGAGATGAAAAGAGGCCTGTGTGAAATTTATGACTAGCATTTGGCTCTGTTTCTCAGTCTTAAGTTGGCAAATCCGGCTTCCTCTGCTCTCTTCTTATCTGCTTTTTTAGCTGGTGTGGAGGAGTGAAAGCTCTGCTGAAAGGTTGAGGTGTGTGCAGTTGTGTGCTCTGCATGTGTGTGCCACCGTATTCCCTATTGCTAAATCTCTGTGGGTGAAATATTATCTTGTTATGAGTTGCAGTTGTCATGCACATTCACAAGACTCGAGATTTGCATCTCTTGCACCCACTTACTTCCGCTATAATGTTTATTATCTCGACTCGGGGTTAGAAAAACTTACTTTTACCGAAATTTTACCAAGGCGCAGTAGCATGTAGTTTCACACAAACTGCGGAAAAACCTTGTTCCTACCCACCACACTTGTTTTTTTTACAAAAGAAGTATTTACAAAATTGTTCCATCTCTAAGCTCCTTATTTACTGCATTAATATAAACCAAGAGAAAATGCACAAATAACCTTTCCGTCCATCTAACTAATAAAAAAAGCTGAGAAAAACGGCATGCACTTTTTGACAAGGAGAGAAAAGTGGAAACGAGGAAAGCGAGTTTATTTATGTTTTACAGATTTTTTAAATCCACTTTCATATATTTTTTAGAACTGGGTTTAATTTGCAAAATAAATCCGTAGACATATTCTGTCGTCGTTATGTATGTTTTGTCTTCATCTCAGATTTTTAATTCACTTTGACATTTGTAAATATAAAATAGTTCCTGTTAACGAACTTCCATAAAGTGGAAAGAAATGCATGGTTACATATCTTGTAGAGGAATGGGTAAAAGTGAGACAAATACATTTGTAATAATAGCAAAAATAAACTCTAGTTCGGTTGCCATTTAAATTCAACCTATGGAGAATAGATGATGAATATCGATTCCTTCACAGTCTTCCGGTCGGTGGGTCGTCGTTCTGAAATTGTTAAGACAAAAGAAGTAGAAGCCAATGGACAACTGGAAATGTGATACGTGGTTCGTTTTGGTTATTCATTCGAGAAATCAAATATTTATTGGATGTGGATCTACCAATGGCCATAATACATAGGTCATAAATGCCATCAACTATTTCGTATTCCATTTTTATACCCTGCCATATTGATGCATCACTTTCTGGTATGGACAGCTGGTATCTAACGTATTCCTTAAATCACTCGTTAAAAAATTCTTAAATTATTATTGTTTTTTAACCTACCTACCTGCCAATTTATTACCAACTTTTGTCATGCATATTCCAACTCTTTGACCAGATATTGGTTTCATTTCCATTGAAAATATTATGACTTGACCCGATGTTCGCAGTACATAAAAGCAGGTTCAGAATCAAGGAATCCATAGTTGTCCCCCATTCAATGACGCCCTGCCCTTGTAAAGCGTGGGGTCGCTATTATTTCACTCCTAGATTTTCATGACAGAAATTCGATTTTTCAGATTCAACGATTGTAAATCCAGTTTTAGCAGCAAGCACAACAGAAAATTGACTCGGGTAGTGGTATTTTAACAATTCAGCAACAGAGACACAGCCCATAAATTTAAAGCCTATAAACAAATATATTTTCCAGAACTTATGTATTCTTTCGTCTGAAAATATAACGCCAAAATACAAAAAGGCATATACGATACGATTCACTTGCCTCGCGAACTCTTCACATTACAATTGAGGTACGAAAAGTGGCATGATTTCTTCTCTCATGTCCATATCACACACGTACATACACATGTACATGTCTTCACGAAAAGCAGCGTGTCCTGTATCTCTGCAGATGAGAGGAGGATTGCTGGGAAGAAAGTGAGGGAGTAGATAAAAAAAGTTACCTAGTTCCATTTCACAGAAGTTCCAATGATATAGTTCCAGGGAATGAATACATACATGCGCCCCTGCCCAACAACCAAGGAACGGATGGATGATAGCTCGTGAGACATGAAACTCTCAGCCAGTTTGTTGGAGCAAAGCCGTCAAGTAACCCAGAGGATACCGCAAGACCGAGCAGTTTTCCACCAGTTTTCCATAGGCGTCCACTTTCCTCGCTCTCCGTAGTAATCCATCAGAATCGCACAGCCAAGTTCCAGACTCTGCTTCTCGGAATCTGGAACAGGATTTGGGAAATCTGGTTTTGCACTTATAAACCAAAGGAACAACACCGCCATGCAAATACGATTGCAACAGCCTCCATTTTACCAGCAGCCCGCGTGCTAAACAAGATCCTAGCCTATCAGATCGATTTTTCAAAATAAAATCAAGCAAGCAATCCTCTCCAATCAAACCAACAATTTTAAGAGGAATCCTCCAATTTGGCAGCGACAATCTCATACATAAATCCATCGCCCCAATTACATTACTTTCGACGAGTAAGACGTATCCATATCCGTCCGGAAGTGGGAAGGTGAAACGGTTGGCAGTAGTAAAAGATAAAAAGGGCATAAAATTTGCCCAAACTCATCCCCCAAAAGTGAAAAGTTGCATGAAAGTAATAAACAACTCGGCTGAGTGAAAAGTCGTGGTGGATGGAAAATGGAAACCCAAAACAAAAACACTTTCACTCATGGAATTCAGTGATTGCATAACCCAGAGAGCTTTCACCACACTCCTCTCTCGCACATTATTGCCTCACCGCTGCCTCAGCACATAAGTACACAAGTGGTGAAGGAGTGAAGGAGTGAGTGAGTGAGTGAGGGACGGAAGGAAGAAGGAACGAAAAGTAGCGTGACATGCAAAAAAGACTTTTGCGTCAAGTGAGTGAGTGAATACCTGACGTTGGAACGTTGCACGAGAGAAGAACAAACGTTACGCGCATCAGCTGGTGAAAGGGAGCGAGAATTCCGGGTGTAAAAATCAATACAAAACTCACTGTTCCACTTTCACTTCCTCCTCGCTCATACAAAAATATTCGCAAAACTGTACATGCTTCGGTTCGAATAAAATTGTATGGAAATTGGATTTCCAGTGGTCGGAAATTACCTCGAGTCCGTTATTTAAAACAGAGATACTACTTAAAAGTGAGGCAAAAAGCAGAATATGTATATCATCGGAGTCGGATTGAGTTCATAGTAAAAAAAAAGGTAAAATATTTTTACAATTATTTTTTCCAGGACATGATTTCGGCTTTTATTATTATGCACCACTTAATTGCCTATCTGGATGTACATACGTATAAGATACATAGCATTTTTTCCTACCTGCATTAGTGTATATTTCTTGTAATAATGTGATCAAATCACGTCACTGACTAAAAACACTTGATCATTGGAATGCAAATGGAACAGGTGCAAGAGCAATAACGGCTGAAGTACAACTTTCCCACAGATTCTCCATCTCTTCAGTGAGTAGTTGGTAGGATATTTTTTGTCAATACTTGATAGGAAGGTAGGCAGACAAGGGCAACACATATAATTGTCTTAATAAGGGAGGAAATTAGAGCAGATAAATGCTCCATCCAAATTTGTGGGCTCTATTAATAGACGACTGCCTATCTATCTACTCATGTATGTGTGAGGTGAGCACATAAAAAATGTGTTTTTTATTAGTTGAGACCGAGACAGACCAACTAAACTGATTTCATTTCCCATCCCCCATTCTTTCCTCTTTGTCTGATCATCTTGTTTGAGAGAGGAAAAGAAGACGAAGGGGATAGCGATTTTGAACCTTTTATTGCTCCACTGGTGTAGGATTCTGAGCATTGTAATAGCAATAATGATGATGATGAGACTTGATCACCTTCCACTATGTACGTCTTCCATTTTATTTACATTACACCACTTTTGGAATTGAGAAGCTTAAAAAAGAGGAGGACGGAAGAAGATGGAAAGACGACGACGACTGTTAAGTATTTATACATGGAGAAGGAAGGGTACCCTGCGTTCTTCTCTTCCAGGCTAAAATTCTCACAACTCGGAGCTAAACTAAAGAAGAACGGAAAGACAGTCAGTCAGTCTACATTACACTTTTGGGTGGCCGACTTCTTTTATTTCAAAGAACAAAATGTGGTGCTGGGATATAGAGTGGTGTGTTCAGCCATCCAGTAGAGTTCTCAATTTCTTTAGAGAGAAAAGTCTCTAGATAAATTTTGTTAAGTTTTTCCCTTCAGAGTCAAAATGAGTTTTTCCTCAGCGTCTAAACTTTTCGAAACTTGTGTTATGGTCAAAGTAAAAGTGTTATAATTAAAATTCTGATCCGGAAGGGATAGCGTTTAGGAAGAGGAGAAGTGGAAAATAAATATGAAATTGATGCCGCCTCGGATGTTTTACAGTATCGTATGTACAGATCCACGTACATCAACTACGCACATCTCCCCTTATTGTCTTGGTCAATTTGGTCTTCGTGTGTTCGTGTCACGGCATTACCCTTCCTCTTCTTCTTGCTGGTAGTGGTACCATTACATTAAAAAGTTCCTTTGTTGATGTTGATTGTTGTGGCCATGAAATGAAATAAGAATGAACAAGTTTAAGGTCTGCTGCCCTCCCTCCCTCGCTTTAATTTCCTTACGAGACCAAGAAGATGATCCTCACTCAACTACTTGCTACTCACTCTTTGCTTGTCCATTTCTCCATCCCACAATTGAAATGAAATGCATGTCAAGAGGCCCAGCTATTATTATCATGTTCGAAGCAGCATTTTCCTTAACCACCGTGTATCATACATTATTTGAAATCTTGTACTAAATGTCGAGCTCGTTTTTTGTGATCACACGGCAGAATAGGTTCATATCATCGTGAAGGAGTTGCTCTTGCGGCAAGGTAAAAATTGGGCGCACTGCTCGTTTCCTGTCTGGATAATTTGGAAGATCTCGTCAAACTACATGCATACAGCTCAGTCAGTCAGGTGGTGCATGTTCTTTTTATTCTTCGGGTAGTGGATTATTTCTTTGGGGCGATTGATTGAGATGTTAGAGAAAATTAGAGTGACTTTGGAAATGATATTAATAATTACCTATAGTTGGGAAGATTTTTGAATTTGCCAAATTTATGAAATATTGACTAGGAAAATTTCATATTTTCTTAGAAAATGCTTCTCAGACTAACGATAAGATATTTATTTACGCATCATGTCCCGATTCAAAGATGAATTGCAAATTATGAGGTGAAGTTGAAGCACTTTTTGGTCTCATTCTCGCTTTATGCGAATATGTTACCTACATATGTACGCATGTTAGTAGCAGAAATAATGAATTTGTCAAAGTCCTCATTTAAGATTAGGTAGTGGAAAGCTAAGCATTTGTTTACATGGAATGATCACTCGGCGGGGGCGACGATGTGGTCAACCTGCTAAAACAAGCTAAACATTACAAGTGCATGACTGCCACATTTCTTTACTTTCTCAGTAGAATCCGTGCACAAGCGGATATTGACCAAAGTCAAACACAAAAAGAATTCGCACTTCACACTGCCTCGGGTTGTTTATAAATCTCAACATAATTAATACGAAATTTCAACGCTGTATCTCAGAGAAGAAGAATGACACTGGCAGTTTCGCCTTATTCTCCGCTCAGATGACAATTGCTTTGGGGTTTTCACCTCTCACCGTGCTCACCTTTATGTACATATGCACATACTTTTTGTATTAAGTCGTAGTGTCAAGTTCAGTGCCACGATGACGAAACGGGATCGACCATGGCTTGTTATTCATTACACACGAACCGGGTTCAAGTCAGAATAGCGTCAAATTTGTCCAACATTACGAAAAATGGTATTATCTTATCCAAAAATCTCCAGATCAACCCACCTTTCATATTTCTAACAATAAATTGAATGCTTCGTGATCAACCCACATTCTCCAGTTCACTCTTTGTCCCACAATTTCCCATCTCTCGTTCCCAAGCAGTTTGGAACATACAATGAACTGGCAGACAACTTGCATTACCTAAGAAGTAGAGAGAGAAGTTCATCTCTTAGACATTATCGGCCGCATGTATGCTATTTGTTACTTTAAGGAGTAGAGCCCACCTTCCTAAGAACGATAGAGTACTTCTCGTCCATGTGTAAGACCATGGTCCGTACATACGTACGAGTCCTTTTACCTGTGTAGTCGCTCCCAGATTATTGAGCATTGTACTTTGTTTTGTATCCGAAAATTGATGGAAACAGGAACCCTAATGGCTTTTCCAATCTTTGGAGGAGACGTCATGCTGTGCTCAGGTTGTCTGTCAAAAGACCCCAAGATTTCTCCATGTCAGCTCTATCAGCCCCTCTACAACGGACGGACAATCACTTCCAGCAGAGTTTCCAATGGATTTATGCTCGCTATTTACCTACCTTCACTTTCTGATCAAAGATCGCAAGAATCCGCACGGTGTAATTTTAGGAAATAAATCAAAGAACAGCAGACTGCTCTTGTACAGTATTGAATTTATTGGAGAGTGATGGATTAGAAACCCCTCGTTGTTAATGAACGGAAGTGGAGCTAAATGAACATCGTCTGACCTTTCTTTGTGTCCAAAGATTTAATCATAATTACAAAACTCAAATGGCTGCCCTCTTATCTTTTCATCGTCTTTGTGCACAAGGAGTTCATGTTACGTAAGGGTTTTGCAACTGATTAGCTGTAGCTCTCCGATACTCTCCTCCGGTTAAATGTCAACAATTGCACACTTACTTTCTAATAATATATAAACTCCGATTCCTTCCTGTTACCTAACTCGACTTATTATATTTCTCAAGAATAACACGTTACGCAACCGTGTATTAAGTGCTGGGTTTGCAAAAGTTAGTTATTCTGTCAAAGTTATACAACAAAAGTCACTAATATCGTAATTAATTAGCTGCACTACTTATCACCTTAATCCATCCATTATTAATAATTTTGGCTGAAATAAATAATCCTTAAGCCTTATATGCATAATCACAGTGGAGGAAGCAGTGTCTCGTAATGGCTCCATAAATATGATGATGATAAACATGATGATGATGACACAATCCTGTGGCGATGATTTTGCTGCCAGTTTTGTTGCGACACGGTGCATGCAACCCATATCGCATCATCCTCATCATGGATAAAATTGAGTTTCCTTCCGTTCAAACTGCACTACGATAAGATGTCGTATCTCATTCAGCATCCATATTCCCCAACTTCCTCCTCGCCTCGCTTCCTTCCTTCCTTCCTACTCTGGGATGTCTGAAAGTTATATCTGCAACAGCAGGAGGAAGGACCATAATGTCAAACTGCGCAAATCCCAAATTATGCAAGAGAATGTAAATAAGCTGGCTGAAAAACGTACATAAACTTGCTCAGTGTAAGCAGGTCGTACAAAGTCAAGTAAAATTTTGCATCAATAGCATGGAGCATGGAAACAGTAGTAGTGGAGCAGTTTTCCCTCCGGAGTTGGTTTTGGGCTGCTTTTTCACTTCCGGTATAGACTTTGCCTGGCTTGTGCTGGAAGAAGGAACTAAGCAACTTTCCTGTGCGTTTCACAACTATGTTAAAAAATGTATTGGTATTGGCTCCTATAATAAAAGTTGAGCAACGTACTCAACTTACTGCCATGAATACAAGATTGCTGGGCATAAATCTGAAAAAGTGAGGAAAAAGCGGAAAGAAAATTTACGCCAGTATCTAGTACCCTGACAGAAATTGGTATTCTATCCTATAAACAGTTCTATACTCATGTTTCGCTTACTTATGTTTCGTTTTTCCTGTTTTTTCCCGTCCCCTCCTGCTCACAAGTACACACACGATGGAGAAAAATGCAACAATGCGTGTGATGAAGCTGGAAGAGTCTTATCTTTGAAGAGCAACATTAATGGGGCGTCATCTTATAATGATGAGAAAGCGCTCGTATAGTTTTTTTCAGTGTGCTACATTTCCTACTCCTCTTTGATTTTATGTTGTTCATTGAGTTCTTTAAGGGTGCTGTACGATTACAATTTACTACTACAACTGGTAAAAGTCTGCTATGCGATAGTGTGAGTACGTACGTACGTAGTAGTAATAACTTATTAGTCGTGGTGCGCGGCTGGGATTTAGCCATTTCCAACATAATACTCAACGCCTGTCATCGTGAAGCTGAAATCGTAAATATGGTGGCTGGTCGGCTTGGGTTTTTTGTTGTGTATGTACAAGTTTGAGA